TTTTTTTTTTTTTTTTTCCAGGTCCCGCATTATTGAACAAGCTTGAGGTGGCTCTGTCCAACGAGAACTTGTCTGTGGATGTCGTGTCTCACTGCCTGCTGTGTCTGAAGGAAGAGTGGATGAAGTGAGTAAAGTTAATTCACTCTAATAAAAGACCAACTAGGCTTAAGTGAGATTCTCAAAGCCGTCTCTCTCGCTCTCTCTTTCAGTAAAGTTAAAGTGCTGTTCAAGTTCTCCAAAGTGGACGGGCGAGGGAGAGAGGACACCCAGAAGGTTCTGGCCCTCCTCGGCGCCACAGGGCCGGGCGAGGAGGACAACGTCAGGCTGCTCAAGTTCTGGATGACTGGACTCAGCAAAACCTACAAGAGTCATTTAATGACAGCCGTCCGAGGTGGGGAGAGGAGCCCCAGCCAATAAAAAGAGAAGGAGAAAGAGGTAGAGAGGGGGGGTTATGGAAATCAAAGATGGGGAAATTCTATCAAAGGGAAAGCGAAAGCAAGAATCCTGTCACCCACCACTTTTGTGAACTGTTAGTGGAAAGAAAGAGGAATGTGAATGGATGTCAGACATGCTTTGGCTCATCCATTATTGTTTTTTTAAGTAATCTAATGTTCCTTCCTGCACGGATTAACACGTTCGGTGAGTTTAGATAATGTATGAGCGCTCTTGTTTGTCAAAGGGAATTATTGTAGAGGAGCTCTTCATAGCAATATGTTTAACTTATTACAAACAGACTTTGCACTTTGTTTACTCTTTTTCTGATGTTTTAAAATGAAAATAAATTAATACGAATATGTCAGTCTGTTTTTGAATATGTTTTTTATTCCACGATTGGCTCCATCTTGTGGAGAGCTGAAAGAATAAAGAGGGAGTGAGTTGAACGAGGTGAGCGGCATTTCATTGCCGGCCCCCACTCACTTGTTTCAGTGGCTGTCAGCCAACCAGCCCCGAAGTGGTGTAAGACAACACTTATAAGGTTTCTGGTGTCCCGAAATGTACAAAGCGGTTGCATAACACGCCCTCGCTCTCGTACAGCCGACCGCATCAGCAGGACTTTAGCTTCTTAATGAGCTAGTCGCTCTCTGATCCAATAAAAAGCTGAGTTTTTTTATTTACATACCACAGTTATTCGAGCCTGTTGCTTTGCTGAAGCTTGCAGACTTTAGTCAATAAAATTCAGCAACATAGAGCTTTGTTTAAAGTGTGTGTGGGGGGGCTGTTTTTTTTTTCTTTCTTTACCCATACCTATGTACCTATTGTGTAACAAAAAGACATATTCAAACACATGTTTGACTCGAGCTTTCCTCCTAAAATGGATCTGTGTCTCAACATCGCTCGTGTGCTTTTGTGTCCTAAGAGGGTTTTTTTTGGTTATGCTTTTCTCTGACTAACTCAAATCTGGATTTGATTTAGCAAGTTTCTATAAAAGAAGCAGAAACATAATTTGCTGCAGTGCCACAAATTAGTTACATATTTACTTCCCTCAATAAGCAAGCGATGTATGAAACAGGAAGGCGGCACAGTGACGGGATATTTATACCCGGCATTAAAACGCATAGTATATGTGAGGAGGTTGTGAGATGATGATGCCTCTGGGAGTGTTAAGGACTTGCTTGTGCTGAAGCTGCTGCTCTCTAGTTTCCTTTTCCCGCTCAACAGAGATTGGACTTTGGAACGCTGTACTGTTTCATTTGGCTTGTGTTCAAAAAAAGGGCACAGAAGAACAATTCCTCTCAGACATGAAGAAACTTTTTACTTCCTTTCATTAGTAATAAACACCTCTCGTGAAATCGAAATGACTTGGCACAAAACAACACTTTACAGACAGGATGATGACAGCTGTGCACAACATTAGACGTCACAATCACACCAGCCGCCTCTGTGGAACCCATTTTAACAGAAATGACTGCAGCAAGCTGTCATATAAGGAATGACTTGCAAGTTCAAGTGATGTAGTGTTGCAATCCTCTTTTTTTTTTTTTTTTAAGGAATGTGATTCTTGATTTAAAAAAAAAAAAAAAAGTGATTAAACAGGATGATATTGCACACTGGCTCTGGGGGGATAAAGACAGGGATCCACAGGCACAGAGGTGTGGGGGAGAGTCCAAATGAAAAACATACGCTCCAACTGCATGACTAAGCCTCCTTGGGCCTGGTTTGGAGGGGGGAGGATGGGGGTAAGTGGCTGGGTGTCAGGGAATGTGGGGAGCAGGGGGGGAGGGGGCCGGGTCAGTCAATAGTGAAGTAAAACGTGTGGCGGTGGGAGGGGCGAGACTTAAAGGGAGCAGACTAGCAATCCAGCAGAGCACTTTCACTTTGAGCGCAGTGAGGACACACAGAGTGGCCAGAGGGAGAGACCGCGCAGAGGAGACCAGGGACTCTCCCACTTTATCCATTAACCAGTTTCCAGGAAGAGGGGAGTGATTCATATTAGGCTGCTCAGGGAGATTCTAGGTCAGTAGTGAGAGGGAGAAAGGGAAATATAGTATAAAAACCAACAAAAGCTTTCATAGGAAAGGGCTGCAGCCACTCAGGCTTAAGTGGGAAAATCCAAAGTGAGAGAGAACAGGATGGCGTGAGAGGATAAATGAGACATTTATTGGAAAGTACCAAAAGGAGTCAAAAGGAAGGAATGTAATAGGAATGTCAACAAGAAGACTGAATATCAAACGGTGAAGGAGAAGACGCAGCAGTCAAAGACCTCAGGAAACCACAGAGGAGGAAACTTTGCCTTTCACAGACTGACACAGAAACCCATCTGCAGAGGGATTACCGTCAAAAAGAGAAATGGAGACGCGTCCATTCTTAGAAAGATAAAAGGATGTCACTGCCAGGTGAGGAGCAAGAATTAACTGCATGTTACTGCTTTTTGCAAACTTTCTTTTTAAAGTCTGGAGGGAAATAGTGGAACACCTGAACTGGGTTATTGTACAGTCATTTTTAACCAGTGAATCAAAACTAATTTGTTGTGTCACTTTGTATTGTATTGTGTCTTTATTAAATTAGAACTGTGGCAACAACAAGCAATGTTTCGCATTGTTTTCTGCACGACTATCTAATTAAGGCAGGATATGATGTCATGTTTTCGAGTAGGTATGCAGTTTGAACAAGCAACAAAACCACAGAAAGTTTCCATCAATTATCTGAATATGTCTCTTTTCTTCTTACTCACGCCTGTAACAGTTTTGCTGTTGCTATCACTCTTGACTGTCCGATGTGGTGGATGCGACTTTGACCTGGAAGGTGTGAAAAACATTAAGACGACTATCGACTCTAATCCGACTGGATTTGTAAGTTTAAAACTTTGGACTTTGTTAATGATTTCATGTAGTCCCTTTGGTGTTTCTGAAGTTTCCTCCTTGTATAAATATGTATTTAATTAATTATTTTTCCTTTAAAGGATACACTTACCTTATCACTTGTATTGACTGTCTTCAGTCAGCTGGTATAAATAGGGGGCCAAAGGTGAAGATCTCACTCAAATGAATGAGAATAATCAGCTCTGCCTTGGTATCTGATAACCAGTAAAATTATCAGATGACAGTGCTTACGAGTCAAACAGTGTGTAGCTTCTCCTCAGTCGTTAGTTAGGTTGTTTTCTACATCCATACACCGTGCATGTCAAATTCAGTCATTACTGTAGTTGGGTGTATTTACATCTTTTTCTCTCTTTTCGTTTTCTCTTCCAGCGGACGGTATTTCCAAGAGATTACAATGTAGTGCACCGCTACACCAAAAACATGCTCTGTAACAGCGATCCGGTGAGTTCCTTATCAGATAAAAAGGGGAAGGGGGGTTTGATGTGCAATAAACGTGTCATAGATCTTACAGTCTTTTATAAAATCAGCCTTTTGGTTTCTTTAACAGGATAATGGTTAGCTTTCACCTCGTCTTCAGCTATTAGAAAAGGGCTTGTAAATGCACAGTTTAGCAAAAAGATTGTTGTACGATGTGGTAGCCTCACGCCTAGCTTGTAATTGAACAATTGATGTGGTTATTGTGGTGATTTGTCCCATGTGTTTTGCACACTAACTTTGGGGTTGTGTTGCTCTACCTTCTCCCTGCAGTGTTGTGTGTTCCCTGCTGCAGTAGTGCTCCTCGAGTCCTGGCATGTGCTTCTCGGAAACATCTGGGATGAGCACCTAAATCATTCCTTAATCCTCGATCTGAAGCAGACACTGGATAAAATTATAAGAAAGAACATAAATACAGCGGTAGGGTCTATTTTCAAATGATGTCCCATAATGTCTTATTGTATGGCTTGCTTTACTCTGGTAAAGAAAATTGAAGTTTAGAAATCACTTAAATGCAAAAGAAAAAGGCAGAAATATCTCTGGTCCTCTGATATGTATTTACATATTTATTTCAAACATGAATTCCTGTGAAAGTGCATTAATAACAATGAATTCATTCTTCTTCATTTTTCCTTGTCTCAGAGGTTCCAGGAGGAAACAGACCTGACCCAATTCTCCACATTATCGTCGTCTCCTGAAGAACTGCTCAGGTTAACGTCAGAACTTCTCGCTCGATGGCTCGATGTCGGCTGCTTGCCTTTGATTAAGACCTGCATCCTGCCCACTTTCCCCCCCGTTGTTGAGAGGAAGGACTACGGCCCCTCGAGGGCCAGACTCTTGACGACCCGAGCCATCAGCAGTGAGGAGGAAGAGCAGCTGGACGAGATGATGGACAATACACTGCCGCTGTATAATGGTGGTCCTCCGTCCCTTTCATTCCACGCTTCTGTCTGGAGCCCCTTGCTATTCAGACTTTACTGGTGGTTGTTGCCATAGTTACCGAAAAGGATCTTCTTCTTTTTTTTTTTTAGTGATGCACACAAAATGCAAGACATTTCCTGGCACTGACTGTTTGTTTTCTTATACTTGTGTCTTTGCGTTTTAATGCAGCAAGCTTTCTTAATATGAAGTGACATGCACCGGTTGCATTTAATGTCCAAAGTTAGTTCACATAGTTGTGCAACAGCACTCTGTAACAAGTGATACCACAGATGTAAACGTATATATCCATCCCCTCTAGAGCTCCAGCTAGCTATGCTCGTCATGCTAACCAGAGATAAATGCTGAGCAAGCCAATGCACATAAGCCATCGTCTTCTGATGTGGAATTCATCACTGTTTACAATGAATGTTATGTAAATGTAAGATATTGCAGTCTATGGGCGCCTACTTTTGTACATAATTGTAAATTAAAGACATTTAGATATATAAATACATTGTTAGTTTTTGATATAATATCCCAAGTAAGCTATATTTATTGTGGTCTTTGCAGTTTGTCATTAGCAATGGAAAGTAGCCAAAGTACATTTAATCAAATACTGCGCAATTCTGTATGTCCCTTTTATGCGACTTTACACTTCTACTCTGTTATATTTCACAGGGAAATATTGTAAATTTTACACCGCTGACAGTCAGAGTTAATGGTTTACAGACATGATGCATTGTTATAAATGAAACCTAACAGTTTATGAAGTCGTTAAAACAAGCTCCATTAACTACAGCAGTAAACTGCATCCACAATAACACAAGTATAACAATCACAGAGAGCACTTTTCTGCATTATATACTTTTAGTTTTAATACTTTAATATATTTTACAAAAAATACTTTTACTTCAGTTCAATTTTAAATACAGATTTCTTTACATGTACCGACATATATTTACATTGTGGTGTTGATATTTTTGCTTCAGTAAAAGATCTGTATGAACAGGACTGTTTCCTCTTCTGCTTGAAGAGATTTTGTTTATGACTTTGCATTCCTGCAACATGACAGAGTTTGTGTTAAGAGTCTACATTCATGGGAGCTTAACCGTGCCGTCTCTTTAAAAGATTCATTCCCAGTGTTCAAATGCTTGACAACTATTTTGTAACTCTGATAAAAAGAACTGGGAGACGAGTTGCAGGTGAGGGAAGAATGTGCTACGGATCCAACAGGCCTCCAGAGGTTTTCTGACTCTTGTCAGGATTTACACGAGAAATAAAAAGTCCACCATTTGGTGCTCGCACTTGCCCTTGCTTGTACACACCCACGCATGTAATGTGCACTGTCGTCACAGGATACTCATTGTTTCATAATCCTTCAAATACTGAGGTATATAACATTGGCCACTGGGGAAAACCGACTTTTGGCTTGCACCCCAAGTTTTCGTTGACTTTTTTTCCACTGAATTTGAGTCCGAATTTGAAAATGGGACAAACGTAATACAGCACGAATGCAGATTACAAAGAGTGAGATCACCATAGTGCTAGAAGACAACATTTTATACAAATAAGGAAAATAAAAATAAAGCCAAAGGCTAAAATGCTATTATTCGGGACTGTGCACAGCTCATTTCTAAATAGGCTTATCAGTTACTGGCAAGTAGGCTACTTAAGAAAAAGTACTTTATTAATCCCTCATTGGGGAAATTATTTTTTACACTATTTTCTGCATATCTAGACAGATGAATTGCTTCCTATCTGTAATACAAGGGGCTACTGTGTCAGTACAGGCTGTGCAGCTGCAGGTCTTACACATGCATTAGCCTTCTTGAAATAAATGCAGTAATCTGACTCACTCAGGACATTGTTTAAACAAATGTTTAAAGAGTGGGAAAGACAACACTGGACTTCCACTGAACTCCCATGATATCAGGCCGAATTTATGTTGAAGAATCGTAGTAGTTTGGGCAATTTCCGATACAAATATTTGCAAGTCTGATTTTTCCTGGCAGCGTGGAGCCCAGCGCCAAAGGGGCCAGCTGAATTCCCGTAAACCGGGGGGAAGCGACAGGGAGAGTGAGGGTGGGGGGAGTGAGGCAGCTGGGGAGGGCTGACAGTGCAGCGTGTTTATACCACGTGACCGGAAGTAAGCGCGCTCTGCCTCTGCCAAGATGTCTGCGCCCGACGAGGACACGTTTGCCGAGGAAGGAGGCGAAATGGAGGAGCTGGACGAGGCTGGCAGCGATGAGGATGAAGGAGTAGAGATGGAGGAGGAAGGAGCGGACGGAGGAGAAGATAGAAAAGTCTACGTGCCCGGGATCGAGCCGCTTCGGCCCGGAGAGGAGCTGGAGATGGACCGGTCCGCGTACCGCATGTACCACGAGTGTCAAACAGGCAAGTCGTAGCCCACCACGATTTATTAACAACAAGTTAGCCACGCTGATGTGTCCTGGTTAGTGTTGTCACCCTGCAGGAGCTGCACGTATTCACTGCTGTTCGTGTTCAGGTGCTCCGTGTCTGAGCTTCGACGTCCTGAGAGATGGAGATGGAGAAAGCAGGGAGCAGTTCCCTCTGTCCATGCTGCTCTGTGCGGGCACACAGGCGGACACAGCTCTGAGCAACAGGTACAACGCTCCGGACAAACGTCATTAATATACTGTGTGTTCAACGTTATCGCTGTTATTTATTATTTGTCAAACTTCGACCAAAGCACCATGGCTTTTGAGATTATGAGTGTTGCTTCTCCATGAAGGTATCATCAATAATGGTATCTAGGCAACAACGTTCAGAAGCTATAATTTATGTTAATGGTGTCAGAAAAAACACTGAGGACACACACTAAAACAATGCACGATATAAAGATAAAATACTAAATAATATAACGAACTAACTTTCTAATAAAACTATTATAAACGTCAAATGTTATATCATTTGACATTGTTGTCAACACTGATTCTGTGGTGTTTTGAGAGACTCTACTGCCAGAATCGTAAAAAAACTCTTTATTTCAAAAATTTTACATAGTCGTATCTTATGTATATTCATTTTATGATCTCTGTAATATTGTACAATTGTAATATGATATACGGTGGGTACGGAAAGTATTCAGACCCCTTTAGATTTTTCACTGTTTCACTGCAGCCATTTGCTAAAATCAAAAATTCATTTTATTTCTCATTAATGTACACTCAGCACCCCATCTTGACAGAAAAAATTTGCAAATTTATTAAAAAAGAAAAACTGAAATATCACATGGTCATAAGTATTCAGACCCTTTGCTCAGTATTGAGTAGAAGCACCCTTTTGAGCTAGTACAGCCATGAGTCTTCTTGGGAATGATGCAACAAGTTTTTCACACCTGGATTTGGGGATCCTCTGCCATTCTTCCTTGCAGATCCTCTCCAGTTCCGTCAGGTTGGATGGTGAACGTTGGTGGACAGCCATTTTCAGGTCTCTCCAGAGATGCTCAATTGGGTTTAGGTCAGGGCTCTGGCTGGGCCAGTCAAGAATGGTCACAGAGTTGTTCCGAAGCCACTCCTTTGTTATTTTAGCTGTGTGCTTCGGGTCATTGTCTTTTTAGAAGGTGAACCTTAGGCCCAGAGCACTCTGGAAGAGGTTTTCTTCCAGGATATCTCTGTACTTGGCCGCATTCATCTTTCCTTCAATTGCAACCAGTCGTCCTGTCCCTGCAGCTGAAAAACACCCCCATAGCATGATGCTGCCACCACCATGTTTCACTGTTGGGATTGTATTGGGCAGGTGATGAGCAGTGCCTGGTTTTCTCCACACATACCGCTTAGAATTAACGCCAAATAGTTCAATCTTGGTCTCATCAGACCAGAGAATCTTATTTCTCATAGTCTGGGAGTCCTTCATGTGTTTTTTGGCAAACTCTATGCGGGCTTTCATATGTCTTGCACTGAGGAGAGGCTTCCGTCGGGCCACTCTGCCATAAAGCCCCGACTGGTGGAGGGCTGCAGTGATAGTTGACTTTGTGGAACTTTCTCCCATCTCCCTACTGCATCTCTGGAGCTCAGCCACAGTGATCTTTGGGTTCTTCTTTACCTCTCTCACCAAGGCTCTTCTTCCACGATTGCTCAGTTTGGCTGGACGGCCAGGTCTAGGAAGAGTTCTGGTCGTCCCAAACTTCTTCCATTTAAGGATTATGGAGGCCACTGTGCTCTTAGGAACCTTGAGTGCTGCAGAAATTCTTTTGTAACCTTGGCCAGATCTGTGCCTTGCCACAATTCTGTCTCTGAGCTCCTTGGGCAGTTCCTTCGACCTCATGATTCTCATTTGCTCTGACATGCACTGTGAGCTGTAAGGTCTTATATAGACAGGTGTGTGCCTTTCCTAATCAAGTCCAATCAGTTTAATTAAACACAGCTGGACTCCAATGAAGGAGTAGAACCATCTCAAGGAGGATCAGAAGAAATGGACAGCATGTGAGTTAAATATGAGTGTCACAGCAAAGGGTCTGAATACTTATGACCATGTGATATTTCAGTTTTTCTTTTTTAATAAATTTGCAAAAATTTCTACATTTCTGTTTTTTTCTGTCAAGATGGGGTGCTGAGGGTGCTGAGTGCATTAATGAGAAATAAAATGAACTTTTTTGATTTTAGCAAATGGCTGCAATGAAACAAAGAGTGAAAAATTTAAATCGGTCTGAATACTTTCCGTACCAACTGTAGGTGGAGGTTTCAAATAAGCCCAGTTGGATTTTGTGCCTCTTCCTGCACTGTGATATTTATTTATCTCTGTTATGTTTGTTCATTTTTAATTATTTGTTTAATTTGTGCAAAATAAATCAACTGAACTAAACACAAAACAATATCTGGAAGAAACTGAAGGAATTTTGTGAATGTGCCAAAGAGAAACGGCAATTTTATCGGACTATTACTTTGCTTGTTGTTAGACTCTATATTCAAAGATAAGACAATACTTTCTGTAACAGGGACGAAGACTCCAAGATCAGAAAGGTCATTTGAGTCCAAAGGTTTATGCAGAAGGAACATAAAAGGGAAAACATTGAGTCTGAAATTGTGTATGAATTCATAGCATGGATATTTGCTATAGGAACATTTAAATATAAATGTCTTTAATTTTATTGAAGATTAAAGAAAACTGTTGAATTCTGTCTTAACATTTATATTAATGTTATGTTCATGTCAAATGAGGTGGATGATAAAGATACAATAAGATACAACTTATGCAAATATAAATGGTGTTAAGATAACAATAAGGTGCAAATCCTCAAATGTATACAATGCCAAAATAAGTTTACCAGTATGGATCATAAAAATATTAAAAAATAAAGGTATCTATCAGTCCAGGTCGGGTTGCATACGAATTGATGGGAATAATTTCCATATTAATGACAGCATTCACAAAGACGGGTACAGTGCACTGACAATATGAAACCAGATATGTACATTTGTGTTTATTTACACTGATGGTCTGTATACTTTATTGTGTCTCTACATACAAATATTTGAAGTTATTCTGTAGTGTCCTAGTAGTCCGGCATACAAACTTGTAAACGTGACTAGTTTCTAGATGGCTTTTGATGATTAGAGGCACAGTGTTTAATTACTGTTGTTGATTTTAATTATTAATTGATGGTTGTGAATTGGTCTTTCACTCTTTGGGGTAAAACAAACTAGCAACACCTACATCTTTGTATCTAAGAACACATTAACAGGAAATCTTAAACATTGTAATGAGCCTCTTAGTTGCTGTTTCTTTAGAGCTAGATCAACAGGAAAGCCCACATGTTTAACAAACACACAGGCAGATTGCATCAGCACTCTTCCCTATTCATAGTCAGTATAATTTTGGGGTATTAAATACAAATAACTGATAAAAATGTGTTAAAACAGTCGTCACTGGCAGCGCATATTATTGTGTGAAAGCTTTTGTTCGATCATTTTGAAAGTGTATGCACCAGGACATAGTTCACAGTCCAATGGTTTTTGTTTTTTTGTGTTGCACACTTTCAGTTTTGTTTTGACATCATCCACTCAGTCGTGACTCTTCCTTTTCAAAGGGTCAGTTAATGGTTAATGGAAAACCTTCTCAAGAACCACCCTTAAGATTATTTTGTCTCAAACTGAAAGTCAGCACTTGAGTACAGAGAACATACTTATCTCCTCAGTAGTTTGCTATCTTCTGCATACTCTGAAATAATATAGCAAGCATGTGTTATCTACATCCTCTTAAAATGCATCCCTTCACTTTCTTGCAGACTTCTCGTCATACGCATGCATAACCTTCACGGAACAGAGAAAGACAAAGAGGGGGAAGAAAGCAGTGATGAAGAAAGTGATGACGAAGATGATGAGGATGAAGATAAGAAGCCAAAGATGGAGCTGGCCATGATGGCTCACTATGGAGGGATCAACAGAGTCAGAGTATGTTGTGTCGGTTTCTAGGCAATACTTGTACATGAACTCCTGTATCAGAAACATGTTTAACTTTCCTAATGACTCATTTTGCTTCTGAATTTCCAGGTGACCCGACGTGGGGAGCAGTCATTGGCTGCCGTCTGGTCAGAGAAGGGACAGGTAGAAATATTTGACCTCCAACCTCAGCTGGAAGCCGTGCACAGTTCTGCTGCTATGGCAACTTTCATCAAACAGCAGAAGGAAGCCACGGCTCTCTTCAGCTTCTCAGGACACATGGCTGAAGGCTTTGCTGTTGATTGGTCACCTACAGTACCTGGTAACTGTCTCCTTGACCTGCAAGGGAATTTAGAGATAAAAAAGAGACGAACTTCTTGCTTACATGCTTAGATTTTGAGACCTAATTTTATACACTTGCCTATTTTTTTAATCATTCAAATGTGTGTTGTGACATCACTCAGAACACATATATTTTTTTATTTTTTGCTTTACTCCGAACTTATATGTATATAGGTCATGTTTTACAGACAGTTCTGATTGGATGAGGTGAAGTGTTGTAGCATAGATGTGTGTGTCTGTCAACCAAACGCTGAAGTGTTCTGTTTGTACTATATCAGGTCGTCTTGTCAGTGGAGACTGCAAAAAGAACATCCATGTGTGGGAGCCACGAGAGGGAGGGACTTCATGGCAGATTGACCAACGGCCTTTTAGCTCCCACAGCAAGTCTATCGAGGATCTGCAGTGGTCGCCGACTGAAGCTACAGTATGTTTGTAGGAAAATACTGACGTAGTGGGTTAGACTGAGGTACCGCAGATGAAGCTTTAGTGGGCCGACTTGGATCTATCCGTTTGTGTGGGTTTGCAAAGTACATGCAAAGTATTCGACATTCATATCAGGATTTGACATGCATTTCTGGTATCCTCTTTGCCATGTAGAGGATGAATTTCTCCACACTGTTCAATGATGTTGTATAATGGTGCTTTACAGGTGTTGGGATGGAAGAACAGGGTGTGGTGAGAGGAATGAATGAAGCCATGTTGACTTTCAAAACACGACCTGTTAACGCTGGAGCTAGGTGCCATCACAGCTAAGAAACAGACTAAAATGTGCCATTTAACTAGTGACCAAACTAGTTTGTGGTATGTGGATGCGAGTCCTGCAGCCTCACATTGAGGTTAGCTTTATGCTTCTATGTGGGTACACTGGGACTTTGTGCAACCTAACTGGTGTTGGCTCTAATTTATCGATGTAGAAGGGTTTGTAAAGTGCTTTAAAAACACAAATTATGAACATGGAAATATCACACTCTTAAAACAGAATGTTTTGCAAGAAATACAACGGAGTTCCTTGTTTGGAAAGACTAATTAAGTCTTGTTTTGGATACATACAGAATCTGTACTGTCTTGTTTTCCACAGGTTTTTGCATCTTGTTCGGTGGACCAGTCTATTCGTATCTGGGATATTCGTGCCCCGCCCAATTCAATGCTTTCAGCCAACGAAGCTCACTCGTCAGACATCAATGTGATCAGCTGGAACAGGAGCGAACCCTTCATCCTGTCAGGAGGGGACGATGGGCTTCTGAAAGTATGGGACCTTCGACAGTTTAAGGTAAAAAAAACAACAACGTTATAATTTGCATAATGTTAGTAACCATTTCTCTCTTGACTGTTGCACAGCTATGAGTTATGACTTGTTTAGGTATGACACAGATTGAAGATCTTACTGATTGAAGAGTGTCATCACAACAAAGTAACCCACCATTCCTGCTACAAGACAAACAGTACTTGAAGAGTTACACCATCAGATAATCAAACACCTGCACAGCGTGGCCGCACCTAACTAATAACATTTGTTCCATTTTGTGCCTGTTACACAATAGTGTGTCGTTACCGCAGTCGCCATCCTCCTAATACCGCGACCAATTTTTAATTTGCCTTTTAAAGAACACTCCTATACGCCCTGTTAATGTCTTGTTGGAACAAAAGGCAGACAATACAAATATTTATAAACCTTCATGTTAGGATTAATACTTGTATAGCCTGAATGTGCATCATACACGGGACGAAGAGTTGTCAGACCTCTTATTCCACCTTTACCTGTAGACCGGGCGGCCTGTGGCGAATTTCAAGCAGCACAGCGCCCCCATCACGTCTGTTGAGTGGAGCCCCGTGGATTCGAGTGTGTTCGCCGCCTCGGGAGCGGACGACGTCGTCAGCCAGTGGGATCTGTCCGTGGAGTCATGTGATGTGGGTGCCAGAGTGGAGGGGGTGAAGGACTTACCCCCACAGCTTCTGTTCCTGCACCAGGGTCAGTCGGAGATCAAGGAGATCCACTGGCACCCACAGATACCTGGTGTGATGGTCTCCACGGCTCTGTCGGGATTCAACGTGTTCAGGACAATATCTGTGTAGTGTGTGTGTTTGAGAAAGGGTTATTTTTGCATTTATGCAAAGTAGTACACATGTAATGTCTAATATGTTTCATCATTAAGGAACTTGTAATAATGTACATAACGCTTTGTAGGTAATAATTCTTCTTTTGGACATTTATTGGCCAAAATTGCCGCCATGTGGTGTTATAACCTTTACTATTGATCTTTCAGTTTGGATGTTTCACAGATGTTTCACAGTTTGGATGTTTCACACATTTCCTATTGCGTGCTTAAAATAAAATATTAGAAACTGTTTTTGGTTTATTTTTTCTGGAATTTATGTTTTCATAGGAGATTTTTTTTTTTTTTCATTTATATTTGGAGGAAAGCAGAGAACTACTTTATTTCAGGAAGTGTCTCTACGTAAAATAAACTTCAGATTCACTCTGAATACTTTATATAGTTCTGTTTTTTTCGCCCAGGACACATTTTAAAAGAAAATAGAAGTCATAGCAAAGGCTGGTGAATATTTTAAAATCCCAATAATTGTTTTATTGTTTTCACTGTAATCCTTATTAAACGACAGGATAACAATTATGTTTGAACCAGCATTTTCAACAGAGCATAATGGTATCTCCCTTTTACAGCATTATGAAATAAAATACTTTTTCAAAATACAAGCAAACATGTACAAAATACACCGCTGGTCCTGATTTACAATTGACCTTTAAATCCCATGATTGTCTTTGCATTGTAGTATTAGTCCAGCCCCACAGCCCACAGAAAAGCTTTAGCTACTTGAAAACAGATGTGAACAGATGTGCACACTGTCTGACTTGGAATGTGATAAATTCAATTAATTATTCACAGGACAACTATTTTCTGACAATGTCTCTGGGAACCATAAAGTTCGTCAAATGCATTAAACATCAAGAGAAGACAGATTCTAATAAAACATGCAATATGAGAAATAATTATTAAGACATTTATATAGCACATAGTACAATAATGTAAGAAAAACGCTGTCTTTAAGGCACTATAACAAAGTTCAATGTGTGAACTTCAGATGGCAGAAATAGTAATTGAAATTAACAATACAAGCATTCATTTAGTCCGTTTCATAGCAAAGCAACCAAGTCAATGAAAAAAATCAAAGTGCTACAAAACAAATCTTTCACTGATCAAGATGACAATCTATTGCAAATCTGTTACCCTTACTAATAAAACATGAAATGCTTTTTCCAGTTGAGCAACATCGTCAAACTGTAAATCTTTTTTTTTTTATAAAATCCAGTTAATTCTGCCTCCCATTCAAATGATACTCAAGTTATGAGTTTATGAAAATACAGTTTACTTGATTTACTTGACAGCAAAGATCTGTTTTCAAGGGAAAACTGTACCTGTCCCCTATAGACCAATTTCATCATCAAACTCATCTTCAAATGTATAGCCCCGCCCTTCCTCCTCCTCCTCTTCCTCCCCCTCCTCTGAATCAGTCTCTGATTGGCAGCTGTCGACCCTCCTCCTGTCCAATGGGGTGACTCCTTCATACTCAGAGTTATGTGACGAGGCCGGACTAGGTGGCAAATCTACTTTGTGATTGGTGACCTCGGTTTCACCTCCACCTACTACGCTCTCACCCGCCGTTGGACTGCGACACGCCAACTGATCCTCATCCTGGAAGTCGAACCCTTGACCCTCTTCCTCTTCAGATGCTTGCCGAATTATCTCCTCTCGTTTGTCACTGAATCGCACTTTTGGTCGTAACCCCTTTTGCTTGATCCCATTCCCGTCTGGTATCCTGCCGTCTCCCACCTGGTTTCCATCCAACCCAACCAAGTTCTTCCCATTCAGCTCGTTCTGCATGTTCACAGACATCTCCACGGCCCCTTTTCCCTGATTCGTTTCCACCGAGGATGTGCTACTTTTGGGATTGAACACATCCTCCTCATTGGAGTCCAACCCCAAACCGTCCATCACCCCTAGTACGTCTCCCAGCATAGACGGGCCTAGATCCAGGTCCAGGTCAAATGAAGACACTGACTCAGAGTGCTGAAGCTCATTGTTCTGAGGGCTTCCTGGAGCGTCTGTATGTAGATCGCTGTGGTTGACTGCCACCTGAGGGTCGGCAGCTGGCATCGTCCCTGGACTCCCAGGGTCGGGGCTGGCAGAGCTCGGGCCCAGAGTGGACAGGAAGGAGGTGTCCCCAAAGGCATCTCCTCCCCTCCCAATGTGCATGGTGTGGCGGAAGTCACCCAGTGGGGCTGAGATCATGGTGGGGTCCAGGCGAGGTGCCCGGGTTGATTTGTGCAGCGGCATGACTGAAGGCAGATTGAGGAAGACGGGAAGAAAGAGGAAAAAACAGGGAGACGATTCTTAAATGTACATGATAGCAGGGGTGAATAGCTGTAACCCCGAAATGACATATCACAGTGTCATACAGAAATTGTTCAAGAAGCTGGAAATACTGGAGCCACAGTCCAGCTTAATGATAAGACAGGGCCGTGTCAACACTTCACCATGTTGAGCAACATTGTGGGACACCAATGAGCGTTTTTGGCACTGGTGCGGCTGTGAAGGCCATGCTGAGACTTGTACTTGAAACACACTCATGCAACGTTAGCACATACTTTTCTTTGGCCTTAGGGGTGTGTATATGCGGACAAAAACAAGACTAACTTTCTCCACAAAAAATAAACTGGATCTATAGCACCAAAGCCATTGATCTCTGCTACTTTTGGTTGTTATTAAATTGAGATTTCAGCATGAAAAAAGGCCAAATTTTAAGTTAATTATTATGACAGTAAGGTGAATAAATATTACTCCATACATTTGATAATGCCTTACAGAATAAGTAAGCCAAATCAATGACAATTTCTTGATCAACATCATATATTGCAAACCAGAATATACATTTGAGAAGTCATTATTTTAAGTGTGTGTGTGTGTGTGTGTGTGTGTGTGTGTGTGTGTGTGTGTGTGTGTGTGTGAGAGAGAGAGAGAGAGAGAGAGAGAGAGAGAGAGAGAGAGAGAGAGAGAATCAGATTTAGGAGGGGAGGGGGCTTGCTTACAGGCCTACCCCAATTCTCAAGACTTTTCCAATAATAGTTAAAGTAGATGACTTATTGTATTACTTAAATATATAATGTTTTACTTATACGAAGAGCATGCGAGGGTTACACTTATTGACAAAGCAGCATGACCGCTCAGATCAATGTAAAGTTCGCTAATCAATTGACCTGAGTGAGCGTCACCGTCACATTCAAAGTATATCAAACTTACCTTAAAGGGAATATTCTGGTCTTTGGTTGGCTCGCTCCTCAGTATCCAACTTTTTCCATCTGGCTTTCTGACTTACGCTTCCCTCTCGACTTTTCCCTCGCTCTTTTTTCTCGCCGTCGTTGGTCTGTGTGAGTTTTCTTTTCTTTTTTTCCAAAGGGATGGGCATGGGGTGAGGAAGTGACGCGACAGTTATTGGGGCGAGCTGGATCAAAGTATCAGTTGACTTTACCAGACTTTTGTTATAGATGGACGAGACTAAGAGACTGCTTCTAGACAGAGAACATCTTTATTTAAGGTTATGATATAATCTAATTGTGAGCCATAGTTTATAAATGTATAAAGCAACACTGGAAGTCAATGTGAAAAAAAAGTATTACAGTGTAACTACCATGATGTCAACTTTAATTGTATGTCTTTTTGGAAGAATAGTGCTTAATTGAAATTCTTAAATCATGAGTCAAAGTTCTGTCACTTTGATTTTCTAAAATGTTTTAATTATTTTTCATAAGTAATTTATTCAATTAGCCGTGCACTTATATTTTCAGATATCTCTATTTAAATGACAAGGCTATAGCCATATTCTGTTTGTTTTTTTAAATTATTGTTAACAAATTACATGAAAAGACCAACACCAGCACTGCACCATGTTAGTGGTAATCAGCCCCGAGCCCATTAGTTCCTCTTAAAGATGTGAATCTTTACACAATGATTTTTTTATTTAATTTTCAGCTGAGCACTGTAGGTTTTTAGCAAAGGATACTCAAACAAGAGTAAAACGTGCATTTGTGAGTTTAAAATACTGCACTCAGCCTAAAGTATGTGTACGTTTTTAGCTGTAGAACATAAACTCCCCCAAGATTGCGGAAAAGAATATAACATATATACAGTACATGCTAAAAACATTTCTTGGGCCACAGTTATGCTTCATTTTAAAGACAGACACATTTCATTTCACACTGAAATTCTTATGAAGGGTTTGACTTAAAGGTGACTGAAATCATGATACTTTTGTGAGACAGTTGCATAGTAAAATTTAACCCCATTCATTTCCTCATGCAACCAATACATAACAAATACACTTTTAAAAGGAGCAAACCTGAATTTTAATCAACAACAGGAGTGTGGGGATGCTATTTAAGAGTCTGTATTATCCAGCTTCCTCTCATGGGTTAAAGAAAAAGCAGAAGCATTACCAAACACCAGGTATTCACACAATGGTGCCGGGTAGTGAGTCATTGTTTGGGAGATCTTGTCACAAATGCTTAACATATTTGTGTGATGATGTAGCAGACAAGACAACAATGGGGACAAATTATTCATTCAGCAGCCACATGATATCATTTACTGTGATAAATGGTCTGGAAATTACACTAAATACAGTGTTTTATTTATTTGAAAGCGGTGCATGCTGACATCAAGTTGCCCACAAAAATAAAACATTCTTCATTGTTTTATGGAGATTCTAAAGGAAGGCATTGAGTTCTCTTCAACGTCATGGTATTTATTCTCAGTGTTTAAAGGCAATACAACTCTCTCGTTTTCAATAACAAAAAAGTTATAAATGGCAGAGGATTATATCTTTAAAAATACATCGTAAGCCCTCCTGTTCATTGCTGTGCGACATATTTATGAACCATACAACAGATGCAAAATATAATTTGCATCATTGAAAAAGGCTTGCATAAATTTGGGGGATGCGCTGTGGGAGGGAGACAGGATATGACTCCACTCTCTATAATACACACTCTCTCTCTCTCTCTCTCTCTCTCTCTCTCTCTCTCTCTCTCTCTCTCTCTCTCTCTCTCTCTCTCTCTCTCACACACACACACATACACACACACACACACACACACACAAGGTCACACAAACACACATCCTGCAGCTGTATGTGCTTCACAGGAAGGTAAGGAAAAACAATATACCATAATATGTGAGTATGTACAAGATCTATGATTATCGAAAAACTCAAAAAATTCATGGTATAGTTGATCGGTTGAAATTATATATAGCTGCCCAACCAATTAGTCAATCAAAGTGAATGTTTTTCTCAGATGGTGTCATATTGGCAACACATGGACTAACAACACCTGATGTTGATATTAATACTATTAATTGAGGTTATGCTGATAATTGATGTATAATATATATGTATGTATATTAAATATTATTAAATATTATTTCTATTTGTTATTAGAGTAATAATTTATTTTCCTTTTCACTACCAACTTGAGCAAAGTTACGGATCATTGAGACTTTTTCCCCTGTGTTTAGCCTGTCAGGCATTACATTCCCTTACCATTCCTTAAGATTGACAGGCAAGTAGATGAATACGGCTCTAGCGCTCTGGCCTAAATGTTAAACCGGTATTTGATTGGTGGAGCCGGTAGGGGGCGATAAAGAAGGTGGGGATAACACGGGCGTACGCTTTGCCTGAGAGGATGTACTCTGGGCAACAAAAATCTTCTCAACAACGTCACTTGACTCAGCCAGTTTTACTTATCTGCCATTTTGTATCTCCGCAGCCTAACCAGACCAAGTTTGTCGTCAACGAAGAAGGAAGGAATGCGAATGTTCACTTCACTTGTTAATTTGCACCTTTAATCAAAGGACGTTATATTACAGTTTGGCTAGTTTGACGTTAGTGGCAGTCGGCTGACTGTCTTTCTAAACAGTTAATCATCGAGACAGATTTAATCTTGTTTACCTTTTTTTGCTTTAGCAGGAGAGCTAACGCTAACGACGTTAGCCAGCTAGCTTAGCTAGCGAACAACCGTCCAAGCGTTAGCTCTTAACGCTAACAGTAGTCTGTGGCGAAATGGCGGCCAACACGACACAAGCAACCCCAACAACAAACTGGTAGGTCGCACTCTGAGCTACAGAAGACACACAATACTTGGGAAATTAAACAAATATGCTACAGCTTGACTAAAGCGTAAATATATAGTATGGTATGGTAGCGATGTCTTGGTTAGCTATAATCTCTTAATCATAATTAGTTCAGCTGAGGGTGTTAGCATCACGTAAACCTTATCTAGCTACATACAGGCCGTTGGTTTGGTTCACAGCTAACATTAAGTTAGCTGCTTAATGTTACTATATTTACATTAACGTAGAAGTTAGCATTAGTAACATTACACACTAACGTAGCGTTGACGCTTTGATACTAACGTTGAACGATTAACGTTAGTTAGCCGTTAAATGTAAGACAAGCCAACTGCTAACGTTAGGTAGGTCACAGTGAACGTGGTGCAAACGTTTAGACGGACGTAAGCATTTATTGTCGACACTGTTTTGGAATATATCTTTAATATGTTGATTTTGTTTCTATATAGTTCTAATGTTGCCATTAATATATATTTTTAATTGTGTTACTCAACCTTAAGACTTTTAAGTGTGTGCATGTGCTAATAGATACAAAGTGTATAAATACTTAAAACACAATTGTTCTTTGGTTGATGGCAGGTCCTATGGTGGAGCTGGAGATGGCCAGGTTCAGGAAAACCCAGAATGGGAGAAGGCAAGACAAGCACTAGCGTCTATTAACACGAGTCAGACCTCTGCTAAAACGGCACAAGCCAACCGGACAGCCACAGCAGAGGTGTGCTTTTATCTCTTTGTGTCTTTATCTTTTTAACACCTAGCATTTTACATTTATGTTAGGTGATCGGATAACAACTTGAGATCTAAATGATTTGTTCTGTATTGAAATAACAAGTCTTATTTTTGCACGTGTCTCGTTTCAGGCCGGTCAGTTTCAGCCAGCAGTGACTGAACCGGCTGCCATTCAACAGCAACAACAACAACAACAACAGCAGCAGCAGCAACAGTACTATCCATGGTACCAACAGACTCAGCAACAGTACCCTGGATACACATACCCCTATAATTACTACTACCCCATGGGTCCAGTAAGTACAGAAATAGATTTTGTTCTTGTCAAAATGTTAACATTTCATACAAATGAATCTGTTGAATTCAACACTGTGCACTGCAACGCTTGTATATACATCTGTATCTCCCAAAATAACATCTGATGCTCAGAGATTGGGAGGAGATTCTACAATGACAACACAAGTTTCTTTGTATTTCCAGTATGGAGGAGCAGCATATCCATCAAATCAGTATGGTGTACCCCAAGGGCCTTACCCGGGAGCTCCCACCTCTAATGGACAGGTACATCACAATCATTTTGTAGTTATTCATGCACTCCTTAGTTACATAGAATGTATAGTAACTAGGAGTGGAACAGTACACAAGATTCATGGTTCAGGTTGTACCTCGGTTTTCGGGTCAAGTTTTCTGTACAGCATGGAAACATTGAATAGCCTTTTTTATGTTCAACAGTGGCTAATTGGCCACAATTCTTACTGCAACAGTTAAGGCACTCAAATACTGGCATGTTGTCAATAGGATAGAGAGATAGGGGAGGACAAAACACTTAGTTGTGGGTACACACCAACTAACACACGGTTTGCCGTGTCACATTACTTAGCTTATAGCTTCTTTTCCACACATTTGCGTGTAGTCGGATCACAGGGCGAACCGAACGTCCTGTGCAGGTTCAGGACAAATACGCGTGCCGTTCTGTGATAATAACGGACCTAGATAAGATAATCCTTTATTAGTCCTGCAGTGGGGAAATTCACAGGATCACAGCAGCAAAGTGGACAGTGCACACAAGATACAGAGTAAAAAAAAACAAGAGCAACAAGTAATATAAATAAGTAATAAACAGTAAGAATATCAACTAATAGCTGGACTAATAATGGATGAGGTTTTAACACTGACCCTTTTTAAAATTTTGAGCACCTGACAAACTAATGCCTGGACATGGGGTTACTGGATATGACCAGCAACCCTGTTTAGATTAACTAATTTGTTGCTAAAATGGCTATTGTTTTCATCTTTTGTTTTTACAGCCTCCTCCAGTGCCTGGAATGGAAGATCAGTCCCCTGGATACCCATCTCAATCACAACCTCCTCCCCCTGCTGCTCCCCAGCCACCCCAGAGCCCAACCACCTCAGAGACACCCCCTCCTCCTCCACCCCCACCAATTGCTCCCCCACCCAACTCCCAGTACCCCCCTTCTCCATCACAAAATGCTTACGGTGCAAATAACTCCATGCAATACCCTCCCGGTGACTCCAACCAAATGCAAGGTTACAATCATTCCCAGGGAAGGCCCAACTATGGACAGGGCTTCCAGGCCCAGAACGCCTATCAGCCCCCTCAGAACACCTCACAGCAGCCCGGCCAGTATGTACCCGGACTCGGCAGAGGAGAGGCCAACAAAAACAAAAACCAAAAACAAGGACAGCAACTGTGGCACCGCATGAAACGTAAGATTTGCTCTTTTCTGAAGAAGCTGATGATTCATAACAAGTAGAAGTAGGCAGGTGTTTCACTGAGCAACAGTTGTCTATACCAATCGGAGACATCTGTGTTTGATTACTGACCAATCAGGAGCATCCCATTAGGAGGAGCTTTATGTGAGAGGGGGCTGTGATTTTTAAAAGATGATCCCAGGACCAATGTTATTGCTCAACATTTTGAAGCCAGATATATCCAAAAAAAAATTAACCAAAGGCTAGAAACAAAGAAGAAAAAATGTTAGTATTCATTTCTTAATCATATTTATTTTATGTCTTCTTTCTCACAGAGGCCCCTGGCTCAGCTTCAGTAAAGTTTAATATTCACAAGAGGCCCTATCAGGTTCAGTGTTCTCCGATGTCCAATCAGACTTTCCCACCAGGCGACCAGCCCTCAGGAGTGAATCCAGATCCTTCCTCCCCATCTTCCGCCAGCGCTGCACTCGGAGGTGCTCAGACACGGTGAGAACTAGACTGTCACTACGGATTAAAAAAAGACGACAGTCGTGAATGATATGTTGACTTAGAATGCTTTCTCTCCAGACCCCAGGACTGGCCCCAAGCCATGAAGGAATATGTGCAGCGCTGTTTTACAGCCTGTGAGACGGAGGAAGATAAAGATCGTACAGAGAAGGTGCTGAAGGAAGTTCTGCAGGACCGGCTGAAGGATGGCTCTGCTTACACTATTGATTGGAATCGAGAGCCATTGCCAGAGTGAGTTTAGTAGTTGATTAGTGTTTGCCTGTTGTATCTAAGCTTTGACATTTCTTTAAACTAATGCACGTGAACGTTGCAAATCAAACATAAATTAACTATATTTTGACGTGTTTTCAATAAGTTCCACTGCAACGATCTTGCTTGATGCGTTTCTTGGATCTGAATAGTTGCAAATTGGGATTTGGGTCTTATTTATTTATGTTTTCTTGCAGACTAAAGGTCAAGCTGTCTCGTTGGGAATCGATTCAATCCCAGAGGACATCAGATGGTGGAAGTGCAGTAGGTGCGTCTCCAAGAGGCAGGGGTGGTGGACACCGACTGGGCCACTACAGGAACATATTTTCTCAGAGGAGTCCATCTTCTAGTTCCTCCCGCTCCTCCTCCCGCTCCCCATCCCCATCCCACGGCCGACACCGGGACCGCAGCAACCAAAGGCACAAACGCAGGTAAGACACAGATTCCCTGTCTTTTCTTTGGTGAGTGTTGGCATCCTTTGTCTTTTCTTTTTTGAAATGTCTTGTGTCTCTATGCTATCAGTGATTCCGGCTCGCAGTCAGACAGCAGCATCTCCAGTGACCTCCGACCTCAGCTGTCACGTCGCAGTCAGAGAGGTGCTCGTGGTCGTGGTAGTGACAGGGATAGAGGCCGTGGGGAGAGAGGACGAGGAAGAGGAGGGAAAGCAAACAGAGGAAGGAGGTAAATACATATGTTCTCATCAGGCCCCTGCTATTCTCATTAATTACGGCTCTTGAAGAAGGCTTACTACTTTATTGCTCTATGACAGAGGGATACTTTGTGAATGGCCTGTTAACTTGTTCTCCCAGAAACATGGACGATTCCAATGCAGCCGTTGGAAAGAAGAGGAAAGGGGGTAATGCTGGTCTGGATTTCCACGACCCCAACAGAGAAGCCAAGAAGCAGAGCAGAGCCGCTCGTTTCCACAAGCAGCTTCGCTCAGAGCCGCTCGTTCTCTCCATCAATTCCCTGGACCTGCCCGATGGAACCCAGGAAGGCCTCAGCTGGGACGACTGCCCCATTGTGGGAACATGCCAGGACATCACCAAGTGCTACCTGAGGCTCACCTGTGCCCCGGACGCCTCCACTGTGCGCCCTGTGCATGTAAGTATGCTCACTGCAGTTTTATAGTCCTAAGATGATGTTTTTGTTTCTTGAGCTCTGTCACTGTGTTGAAGTCATTTTTTAAGCTTACTTAATACCATGCAAATTGCATAAAACAAGGGAGAAGAAAGGGATGACATATGATGAAGCCGTTTGAGTATATTTATGTATCTTTCTACGTCACAGAAGGTCAAGATCCAGAGATTGATCTTTTTCTGAACTTGTTTTTACCCAAGGTCCTGAGAAAGTCTCTGCAGACTGTGAAAGTCCACTGGAAAACCCACCAGGACTACACCTATGCCTGTGAACAGATGAAGTCCATACGACAGGACCTCACGGTATATAATGTTCATCAATAATTTTAACAATGTTACAATGGGTTTGTTGTTTCTTGAATTTCTTTAAATTTGATTATTTTTCCCCGTCATGCAGGTCCAAGGAGTTCGTACTGAGTTCACAGTGGAAGTGTACGAGTGTCATGCACGCATTGCTCTGGAAAAGGTGAATCCGTTTTCCTTTTCTACGCGTTGTAGTAGCTGAAAGTGTTAACATGGTTTAATACTAGCTGAATGTTTGTCTTCAGGGAGACCATGAAGAGTTCAACCAGTGCCAGACCCAGCTGAAGGCCCTGTACAAGGACAACCCCTCAGAAAACATTGGAGAGTTTACAGCATATAGATTGATTTATTACATCTTCACAAAGAACTCTGGAGGTATGCTCGCATGGTTTTCTTTTTTAGCTGCATTCGCACGTCGCATACACATTCTCACCCTCTTCCTTTTCCTTCCTAATTAAACTTCCACCATTTATCTTCCCTTCCAGATCTGACCACTGAGTTGGTTTACTTGACCCCAGCACTGCGGGCAGATGTGTGTGTGTCTCATGCTCTAGCCCTCCGTGCTGCCTGGGCGTTAGGAAACTATCGCCGTTTCTTTAAGCTGTACAAGGAAGCCCCGCGTATGGCTTCATACCTAATTGACAAGTTTGTAGAGAGGGAGAGAAAGATTGCACTTTGGGCCATAGTCAAAACGTAAGTAAAGTTTCAGAAAGTTTGCACATTTTGGTCCTCGTTTCAGGTCCTCATAACTTACGAGATTTCCATTTTTCTGTTTCTTCTGCAGGTTCAGGCCCGACTTGCCGGTGCAGTATGTGCAGTCCAATCTGGGCTTCTCTTGTTTAGACTCCTGTATGGCCTATCTTACTGGGCTAGGTGTCACCTTCTACCCTAGTGACCCCGATAAGATAGACTGCAAGGCCAGCACAGCCGCTTTGGCTGCGTCCTGAGGGGGGGGGGGGCTTAGCACCATGAAGGGAGACGCTAAGGGATTATCATGGAGCCTTACATATTTAATGTACTGCACATCAGACACCTCAGTCTATTCAGATAGGGAAGTTGGCAAACTAACAACTGTATATAGAAAGATACATGCTGCAGATTCCAGATGTAAGAGTTTACACACACTGTCACTCAAATATTGTAGGTTAGCCTAATGCCCAAGTTATCGCTCTACATTGATATGGCCAGAAAAGTGAGTGAACAGTTTAGATTTGGGATTAACATGTAGTCTCAGCATTTAGAGCCCCAGGAGTCACAGAAGCAGATCAGGGAGGCGCCCTCAAGGTTCCTGTTCCGTAACCACCATCAGATGTCAAAGCTAACAGTGTTCTGTTATGTTTTTTCCTTCCTCAAGTCAACAGCTCCAACACCTGAAGAATCAAGCCTTGTCAACCAAAAGAGAAATACAAACAGCTGTTCTTCAAGTCATTTATCCAGCTCTCTGCTGTTTGACAACAAGCCTACCGATTCACGTCAACTCGACATATTCCTCTTAGAGACTGTGAGACAACATGGTGAGAAGAAGCCAGCAGTTTGCCTGAAAGAAGAAGAGGTGGTGGTTTGTATATCCTATCCTGCGCCTGGTTTCCTCAAGGTTCTACAGTTAGCTGTGCATCCTGTTCCCTCAAATAGCCCGTGTAATGGAGCAATGGACTGAAGTCTTAGGTCTGGTTCCTGGTTTAATGAAGCGGTATCCATCCGCTGGTCACAGTCATGAAATGGGTGGCCATTTTTCGGGAAACGTCTCAATCTGATGAGCATTGACTTTTATAGGCAGGTGTTCTTCATCTCCTCACTCCGTACCGTCAGAGCTGAGCTCCATCTCCAGAATCAAACAGAGAATCTGCTTTCATCGTCCTCTGGTTTAAGTCCTGGCAGCACCTGGAGTCCAGCAGACCCTGATCAGCACAGCAAAGCGATGAAGCCCGTCTATCATCCATGTTGGCCATCTTAACTTCACCAGCTGTTTATCCAAAGAAACAGTGGCAGCTAAGCTGCCATCTTTAAATGCAGCTAACGGTGAAGTCTGCGTGCTGGATCATCAGCGGAAAACCTGCTGCAAGAAGGAATAATGAGTGGTTTGTATGCTACAGCTGGCTGGTAAGCGAAAGGGACTTCTCTGGAAGGAGGTGGATGACGGCACAGCAGAGATGTTGCCTCACACGTCTTCTGTGTTAAATGTTATACGTCTTGTGTTTTTGGACAGCAGTATTGGCCTAGTAAAATAATTATTGAGCTGCAACGCAGGTTTTTATCTACATGTTGATATTGGACAGGTGAGGGAGAAATTTGACAATATCCTAAAATGCCCAAAATGGCAGCAATAAGACTTTAAATTTACTGCACATGTACTTGTGCTGTCTGAATGTTATATGTTAAAGTATTTCAAATTGATTTAGACCGTAATGTAATAAAGAGGAAGATTAAAGTTGAGTGCTTTTATGTCCATTTCTCAGTAGTTATGATAGAAGTTTCTCAAACAAAAGCTGCGATTGTAGCCCATTTACTCGAAGTTCAAAACAGTGGTGTTGTAGTTGAGGATTTTGGCCATTTATCTTCGAGAGATTTGTGCTTTTCACGACTTAAAATACGATAGGTGGTGGTGCACTATTTTAGGTGATAATTGGTAAAATATGTGACAATACTTGAAATAGTGATTAGAAAATGTCAGAAACAAACGGAACTTTTCACACTGACTAAACTTTGTTCTGCTCTCCACCATTATCTATCGTTTGGGTCCTCATTTAGGATGATTGTGCTGGAATTGAAAACAGGTTGATGTCATTCCTCCTGATCTTTTCTATAAACCGTATTGATTCCCACTGTAGAAACATTGAGCTTGAGGTATTTAAGACTTTAAGGCTGTACAAGTTACATGTTTACTTGTCTACAGAGTATATTTTTGTAAATATTGTATGATACTGCTGTGATTTCTTTTCAATTAGTGCCTAGGGTAGATTTTTTGTTGACACACGGGTAAGTGTGATATTGTTTTTTTTTTTTTTTTCTGGGTTTTGCAAAACTCTTTAAAACCATTTATGTGAAAACTAAACTTCAATGCAGACAGGTCTGTATTGGGTTATATGCTATGTCATCAGAGAGGATGTAGTGGTGGAGTTCATAACTGCTAGTTTCTGCCAGTACAGCCTGAACATATTCACACAGGCTCTTCAATGTGGTGGGATATCATGCTCAATTCCCAGTGACATAACAAATATGGTTGTTAAATTGTCCCTTCAGACAAAAACTGTTTGCAGATTGTCCAACGCAAAGCCGATCTATATACTGGGAGCACTATTGCTAAACATGACATTTTAACACCTACCACAAAACGATAGCTTTACATCGCATTGACAAAATACTCTTGTGAACCTGACTTGTTAATTTGTTGGTAAAAGTGTTCCATTGTTGACCATTATTTCAGTAAGGAATGAAGTTAATTTTGTAATGACAACGATCTCAACATGTTTTCTTTCTTTCCCCTTCATTTACCTGATCCCCTGTCCTCTTTACTCCCCCCCCCCCCCCTCCCCCCCAGTCCCAAAACCTTTCTCTCACACGTCACCAGACCTCTCATTCTTCAGCTCGTAGCACTGCTGCGTTGCAGGAGCATCTGGAGTGATAAGTGGGCGAACCACCTCCAGACGCCAGCCGGAGAGAGTGAATAGTGAGCGATCCAAGTCTTGGTTTGACTCACGTTGAAGCCTCACAGCTGATGAAATACATGGGAGCCTTACACAATGAAATATGGAGAATGTTGATTTTGCTGCTAACCCAAATATTTGAAATGTTTTTCTGTGCGATGTGATACATGTTTAGTTTTTAAATCCATATTTGAGGATTGACAAAGTCTTCATGTTTTGCTGTTTTCTGTTTGTTCAGACGCATTTATACTTTTTCAAATAATGTTCCTTCGGTCGTTTACTGGTAAATTTGTAATTTAAGATTTTTAAATTTTTTTTTTTTTTTTTTTTTTTTTTCTCACCCTATTTATTAATATTTGGGATTAATTTGGCTGGGGTTTGAACGGTGGACTGAACAACTTGAGTTTGTTAGAGTTGCAGTAGATCTTATATTTGACAGCGTGATCCTCGTCTAAAAAGTGTGTCTGGACATACAGAATGTTATCCTCAAAGTTCACTAACATTTAGTATGATTAGAAAACAAAATTCCTTAGTACGCAGTCGTCTTTAGGCAAAGTTCCTTATTTGAGAAGTGCTGGTGCGTGCTCCCGTGCTAAGAAATTACCTTTTGGTTTCTTCTAATGTGACTGATCTTAATCGATGGTGGTTTGTTGCCTTTGGTTTACGTCCTAAGATTTGTTTACACATGGTTAAAGTGTGTACATCTGATGTCTCAGGTCTTCAGCATTGATACAGCCCAGGATGTTCAATTTATTTATTTATTTTTTTTTCGTAGAAAACTCACTCCAGACAACTAACGATACACATTTTCATTTTGGATGTTTGGTTTTTCCTCTCCGATGCCCGAGTCATGTTTTCAGTATTTTTTTGCTCCCATGTTACTGTATACCTCCCATCAGTCTTTGTAACTCCTTCCTTGATATTTGCTGGTAGAACTCCCCATGTCCCTCACCTCTGCTGTTCTCCTGTCATTTGAATTAGTCTTCTCTCTGTTCTCACTTTCTCTTATTTACCCTCCCTGCATGCTGTCCTCTCCTACAAATCTCTAACCATTAATTCTTCTCTCCTCATCCTTCTCGTTTCCTTTTATGTCGAGTATGTTTGTGGCTGTTTGCCATGTGCAATTAGTCACTCTCGCTAGTAAGTATTATACGGCGTCTGAAATGCTTCAATAGTTTCTGTTGCGGCTCACTAACAACTGAAGCTGAAGGTTTATCTGCAATGCCTCCTCCCCATCTACAGATCTGACATGATAAACTGCCATTTTGTAAATACTGTATATATATATATATTTTTGACAAAAAATCTAATAAACTTCAAGTATAAAGTGCATCCAGTGTTTTTAAATCACACAAAGCATTCTGGCGGATTGTATTCACATATTTAGCTGAATGGATAAAACAAAAGTACAAGTTAAGGAATAGAACTCAGGGATCAAGTTCTGGATGGACTTTTTATTAAGAAATGTCATAAATATCGAGTGAGAGGCTCCTGTGACTGAAAGACTAAAACTAAGATGAGTTTGGTTACTTGACACAATGAAGGTGTTTCTATGTTTACAGCATGATTGACGTTTTTATCGGAGGTATAAGAACATCAAAGTGAACTGAATGTAGTTGGAAAAGAAAAGAGTTGGAGTTTCATGATGGGGGCTAAAAACAATTTAAAGAGTTGAAATTACAGGGAAAAGATAGATGTCACAGCAGTGATAAAGAATTAGTGTAAAATAAATGAATACTATGTGAAACTACATGCAATTTGTTAAAAGGGAGGAAACAACAGATTGAGCTCATGCAGTTAAATTTGAAAGGGAAAATTACACAAGTAGGAAACAAGAACAGCGGGAAAAATAGAAAGTTGAGAACTTTAGAAATTGCATTAACAGGAAGACATTTCTGCATAAACCACCAATGAAAGCATGATTATACATGCCTCCAAATACGATAAAGTACACAATTTGTTGAAATACGCATTTAGCCAACTGGCTGTTTAGAGAGAGAAACCATTTCAAAGAAAGAAAAATAAACTATTAAGAGAAATACAACAACTGCTGATGAAAGAGAGAGGAGCAAAGGTAGGGCAGCAAAACTGTAGCTAAGAATTATAAACATAAATGCAGAAGACAGAGAGAACTAAGCACTAACATGCAGAGAGAGAAAAACTAATACAATGATAAGAAAATAAAGCCAGAGCTACGTAGTATGTAGGAGTAGAAGAGAAAATGAGAGAAGAATTATGAATCATGCAAGTGAGAAAGCCAAAGGCAATGATTACAGTCACTCAGGGAGAAAAGATGCAACAACTACACCTACTAAATAAAAGAATGAAACAATTGAATTTAGGTCAGAAAATGCAGAGAATAGATATAATAGAAGACAGACTGAGATTAGTTTCATGTATACACACATATACTGTATATATACGTATATATATATACACACAGTGCGTGTGTTTTCTACAGTGGTCCAGAGCAGGACAGAGGAAAGAAAATAAAGAAGAGCTAGACTGATGGGAAAAAGAAGGAAGTGGAGTGACATTTAAGAATTGAAATTAGAAAATAAGTACAAGCAGGAAACAAGGTAAATACAAGAGGCAAGAAATAGAAAAGAGGGAAGAGGCTGCTTCAGCTTCTGTGTAAGGCCCGATGGAAATGATCCAGGCTTGTGATGTGATGAAGTCTTAAAAGTTCACTCAATTATCAGTTACTTTAACATTGAAATTCCAATCAATCACAAGTCAAGGCTTCTTCGGCATCAGAGCAGCATAGAAACAAAATAACCCAAAGACACGGATGAAAAAAAAAAGATTGGAAAATGTTATGAATCAATGAAGGACAGAAGAGAAAAAGAGAGAAAACTGTTTTATTTAGAGGTAACCATCAAACACAGCAGAAAAGACTGCAACAGAAACAAAGAGAAGAAGAAATTATCAATACAAGTCAAGAAGTCATTCAACAGCTCTGAGTGAGGAAAGACAGAGAAATACAGGAAAGAAAAAGATGACAGTAAAGAGTGAAATAAAGCAACAAGGGTTTGAATAGAGCAGAACAGGATACTTGAACTCTGACAGTGAGCAGTTATATCTGCAGTATTCAGATGAGAACAGCAGCCTCTGGCCTGAAACATTCAAATATTTCTGCCTTTGAATCTTAGTTTGTCTGGTAAAGCCGACAGCAAAAGACTGCATCGTATTGCAATTCCCAGATGTGCATGTGTATAACTGAGTGACAGTGAAACCGGGTTTAAAGCAGCTCAGACAAATACAACTCCCCCGGGTGAGAAGAGGAGAAATAACTCTCGATAGGCATCAGGCTCATTGGGTCGTGAGGTACAGAAACTAAAACGCTGTTGAATTAGCAGTAATGGAAGAGAGAAGAAAAAGCTCTGCAGAATCAAAGATCACAAGTACAGAAAATGATACAGGATTAATAATGAAAGATATATTAAAAGTGAAATATGTTTGAGAGGTAGATTGTTAGAAATGCAAAAAAAAAAAAGAAATGAAATTCCAACTACATCCAGACAAACATTAGTTCTGCTGTTTGTGAGACTGATACCAGTGTCACAGCTGTCTCTTGGTTGACCTGCAAATTGAACAATATTGATGTGTAACCTCACTCATATGCTCACACACACGCACACACACGCACACACACACACACACACACACACACACACACACACACACACACACAGTCAAACAGATTTTGTAAATAATCGTCACATAATAAGTCATTCAACATTGTACAAACTTTTTCTTATCCAGTTTGATCCGCGAAAATTGAAAAATTCCAGCTATTGGCTCACAAAATTCATTCTCACAGTATTTATCTCCAACTTCCGTATTGTTAGCTCACATAAGTACTCTTTCAAATCAAAAAACAATAATCCTTTAAAGGTTTTCAGCAAATGTCTATATATTACATACACAGCATCCTCTTTCAGGTGCTAAGTATTCATCAGTAGAATGGACGATGGGTCCTACACTATTTACAACTTCAGTCTGTTTAGTCTCTCGAGGAGAGGTAGTGATGGAGGCAGGAAGTAAAATCATTTCCACATTTTCAATGATCTCCCAATCGATCCTGAAGTGCCCATGGATCAGCCAATCCCAGAGTTCAGAAGAGACGTCTTCCCTCTGGTTCAGTACGGGGTGAAGCGGTTATATCCTCCTCTGTACAAACTGGCCTGTTGACAGAAACAGTGTGCCAGGTGTGACCAAGGTCTGCTGTTAACCGCACATGTAACAAGATCGCTCTCAACAGAGGAGGCGTGTGTTTTAACTCAACTCACCATTGTACCAACTCCATATGTCGTTGTTGGTCCGAGTGAGTGGTGATAGGGATCCGCAGCTGTCGTGTAAATGCGTCCGTATCTGGTCAAAGACATCAGAAGCAGATGTAAATGTCATATAGCTGGGATTCTAGAAAGGCTAAACCAGCCTTATCAAGTTAGCTGCTCTGTTATTATTTGTTTTAATAGTTCTCCCTTCATCATGGCCTTCTCCACTCGGATTTAATTTAGCCTGGTCAAAGTGAAAGACATTTAGTCTAAAAGAAAATCTGAATTAGCCTTAACAAAACCTGACGTGTAGTTGGTGTGTCCTTGTAGATTGAAAGATACTCAACTCAAGTTGTACAGCCAGTAAAGAAAAAAAGATTTTCAGTGTGAAAAGTTTTGGAAAAGTTTTTGATGTCGTTCTATATATATCTTTCTAGACACAAAACCAAGTACCTGAATTTTAAAAGTGTATGATTTATCTTTTCCAAGAAGGTTATGTTTTCGGTTTGGTTTGTTTGTTCACCGGCATGATTACGGGTAAACTATACTGGCCCAATTTTCATGAAACTCTGTAGAAGGGTGGCTCACGGGCCAAGGATGAACTATTGTATTTATGTAGAAAAGAGGTAGACACACCAGCAGTAAAAGCTGATTTGTAATCGTGCTGTGACTGGTGTTTATCTGCCTACCCGTCACTGTAGGTTGCTGTGGCAGCAGATGCTGACTGAGCCATTCTATAAGCTGCAGGATAGCCACCCTGCACAGAAAGAGGTAAAATAACATGAATAGAGCTACAGCACTAATTAAAAATGACTTCAAGGAGCAAACGAGTACAGCTACTTACATAGACTTCTGTTCCATACAGTCCATCCTGATATACCATCCTGATAAAAGTGATGAAAACAATATGAAGATGTTAAAGCAGTGAGTGAAGTGAATATACACACTGGTACTTGGACACAGGGTCTTACCCAGGGTAGCCGGGCACAGCAGTAGGTGTTGCTGCAGCAGAGCGAATCGTGTTGTAGACGGCTCGGCCTCGGCCGCGCAGCGCAGCGCCCCGGTAGGCCAAGGTGGGAGCTGCTACGGGATACGGGAAACTGGCAACTAAAGAGAAAAATAAACAGTAAAAAAAGTGAATAGTACAATACTGGTGGTCTCATTACAATAACGGATCAGCCTTATGAAGAAGAAGTTACCTGTATAGAGTTGTTCAGGTGCATACATCGCCCCCATGACAGGGTTGATCTTCCATCCAGAAGCTACACGGAAAATGAGAATAAGTTTCACAGGAGACTCCCAGAATCCATCAGCACGCAAAGGGATATGTGCAAAAGTGATTGAGGTGTCTTACTTGGAATTTCACCACTCACAAGAGGCGTCTGGGGCTTTTTGGTAACTACTCTTGCAGTGGCATTATTGACCTGGGGAGACAGAGAACGGAACAAAGGCAACGATTAAAGATAAGCATGCAGGATATTAATGTGGAAAACTAAATAGGGAATTCCCCCTCACCTCAATCTTTCTCCCCTCCACAATCGTCCCATTCAGCTTTTCTCTTGCTCGGTCAGCCTCACCAGCACTCTCGAAGGTGACAAATCCAAAGCCCTGCAAGTCATATTATTGTTTGTTTAGATTCAGTTTTTTGTTCATTAAAAATGAAAAGTTTCAGCTCTTATGACTCTGCGGTGCTCACCTTGGAACCCCTCTCATTGAAGATTATTTCTACATCAAGGATCTTCCCAAATTGCTGCAAATGTCAGAATAAGTATTTTATGTGAATATATTAGAACAGATAAAGAAAATGTAATTTATTTAATATGTACAACAATGGTATGAATGCATTGTGACACTGCATGATATTGAGAAATTCATACCCCAAACATCTGGCGGAGATCCGGGTCTCTGAAGCGGAACGGGATGTTGGAGACATGGAGGCGTTTCGGTTGGGCCTTATTTGAACCCTCATCATCACTTCCACTTCCTGCTCCGCCCCCTGATGACACCGACACGCTCAGAGACTGGGGGTCAGAGGTTAATGGGGCCAAAACGTCCTCCTGACAGTGAGAGTATGAAAATAGGAGGAGGAGGAGGAGGAGAGAAAACGAGCACAGGGATAGATGAAGAATGGACGGTAAGGAAGAGGACGTGAAAGAACAACCAAAAACAGAAAGATGGAAAACAAAAGATAGAAGAAGAAAGAGTATAAATGAGATGAGAGTAGGTGAGAAGAAAAAATGGGGAGAGGGCATCAGTAGAAAAGCAAAGAAAGAGAAAAATAAAAATAAAAATAAAGTCAATTCAGGAAACAAATCTGGCAACATCTTTCAGAAATATTCTTTTTGTGTAAATGCGTAAGCATCACATGGCATTAGGCAAAGATAATTTTCATGAAGTGATTCAAACCAAAGGTCAAAGAGCATTCAGCAACCAGTGATCCTTCTCAGGCAAATGTGAGGAGGCAGGAAAGGGCACCATTTTAGTGAGGCGTCTTTGAATACATGCCTGTAGGACAGTATAAAGCTAATGCACTGCACAATATCAATAAAGATTTTGTATCTGAAACTAAAACTATGAATGTTCACTCAAGCTTTGGCAAAGAGAGTTAAATAAACTTCAAGCTCCCCTGAAAAGCAAGAAAGACTGTAACTTAGTCCTCATATTATCTAAGCAGTTGTAATAATCTGTAATATACATTTGACAATATCTAACTAATTAAAATTGCTTCATGCAGAAACATCCATGATTTTTTGCCAAAACCAAAACATTCATTATCCCACAATGCACCACGATGCTAGTGTGTGCACGTGTATGTGTTGGTCAACCAGCATCATCAACCGTTGCAGAAGATAAACGTTAGACATATGTTTTTAAGTCAAATGAATAAGTCCAAACAAGAAAGTGAGAGTGAAAAAGTCTGCAAGAAAATGCAGGAAAAATAAATACAGTGAGCTTCAGCAGTGAGAGCCAGAGAAGGAGCGGAGTGCGTTTGAAAGAAAAAGAAACATTAAAAAGCAAAGAAAAATGACTGTACGAGTATTGATATTGCAGTCCTTTATGCAGAAGTGAGGACTTGAGTATTAGCATTCTAGTAGGAAGAGGCAGATAGTAGAAAAGGCCTCAGTGCAGCAGGGAACAATAACATTAAACCAAAGTAAACAAGGCAAAGAAGGTGCGCAGACAGCTTGAGAAGGAAGAGGGTGATGGGGGGAAAGGGAAAGAGATCAAAACTGTATGTTCCACAAGGGTCAGTCTGGGGGTCACGGTGCTGCTTTTCTGCCAAGGGTTAAAGGTCATTTATCAAGGGGCATAATTAATAAGTTGGTGATAGACAGAAAAAGGTACAGAGACACATTCACACACGGGAAAATTTTACACACACAAACGCACACAGACCACTGGATTACACTACACTGGCTTGCCATGGCTAACTACTGCAGACTACCACATCCACCCACACACACACACACACACACACACACACACACACACACACTCACACACACACACACACCACAGACAGGCTACAGAGGAGGGGAGACAGGGAGAGAGGGTTGAGGTGGGTGGTGGTTTCATGTCACGATGCACAATTGTGTTTCTGGACCTGAGCGATATTTCAGAGTGGGAAAGGGGGGTCATCTGGTCAGCCTCCCCCTTTGACCCCCTCCCTCCATGGCGACGTCTCAACTTTCCCCCCGAAAATCAGCACGGACCCGAGTATGTCAGGGGCTCTAGTAATAAAATATATAGATGGGGCCACAAAACACCATTTATGAGAGGAGGAAGAGAGATGTGTTGCAGCAGGACACAGAGCCGACCTGCCAAACAGACTAAACACCTCTGAACTTATCATAGTCGATGTGTTCATGCCTGAAGCAGATTTGATTAATGTATGCTGCCATATAATAAGCAAAACTAATTTCTGTCTAAATGGAGCCCTGGAAACCGATTTGTCTTCATGAAAGTGAAAAATCAGCCAAACAAGTATTTCAACCCGTTTCCAAATTAAATCGTATTTTCTAACAATAAAAAATGTATTGTGTTAGCAGCATGCTGCAGGATTAACAAAGTCATTTGAATGTATCCTCAAGGGACCTTGAATATCAGGAGCAAATTTCATGACAAACGCTGTCAAGATATTTTACTCAAAACCAAAACTGGGAGCCTAAACCTGGGAACCATGAATGACTCTACAAAGTATCATTGCAATCCAGGGATTGTTGTTGAGATATTTATGTGGGAACCAAAGAGTTGGACCAACCAACAGGCCAGCATTACCGGTCATAGTGCCACACTAGCACGGTTAAAAAGGCAGGCTGCTGCACTGGAATCAAGAAAAATATTTAAATATTTTTGAACAAGTTGATTTTTAATGGAAACAGGTTGAATGAATCTTACTGGCAGACGTTGTCACTTAATTTAAGAAAGCAAGAAACACAATTACAGATATAATGGCATGTTGAGAGGGTTTCCTTTTTTGCAGTGTGACAAACTGTGTTGAATTTTCTTAACAAAAGAAACGTTCTAAAATAGCTATTCTTTTACAATTATTTTTCTATTCACTTTTCCAACAGTAATACTTGTGTCCTCTCTCAGAAATCTGTGTGATTTGCTTATATGAACCACAAAAACTCAACATAGAAAGTTGTGTCGTGTACAACCTCTACACACTTAACTGTTATCTGTCAATATCGTCACAAAATGCCATAATTTTGAAAGGTGATCTGTTTCATTGCCTGCTAAATAAGACACAGGGGAGACAGAAAAGTGGGGATTTATTTTCACCAACAAATCCTCACTCAGCTGCCGCCCCTCACTTTGAGTGTGAGCGACATTCCCGTACATGGACACAACAGTGGCACTGGGTCTCTAAATATAGAAGGCAACTCTATGTGGCCATGTTCCCCTGATAGGGCTTATGGATGCTCTACCTGAAGCAGCAGGGTTCTGTGTAACATTCACTTACTGAAGATCACATTTCATTGGGACATGGATTGCTTGTCATGATGTGCTTCCACTCGCAAACGGTTCTCACCGTGTTACTGGATGTCAGAACCTCCACCCCGTCGAGCTGAGGGCCCTGATATACCCTGAGCTGGGGATGTTCGGGGTACTCTGAACTGTGGTGTGCAGAGGTAAAATCAAGAGGTGGCAGTCTGCCCACAGATGTTGGTGGACCTTGACCAGGCGGCGGGTAGGAGGGTGGAGGGCCGTAGACCTGAGGCAGGGAGGGGTCACCACTGCCGGGGCCGGCCTCCTGAGGGGGGCCTCCCTGAGGAAGAGAGAGGGAGGCAGGAATGAGCCTCACAGGATATCAGATGTCAGAGGTGTAAACAAACTAACCACCATGTTGTTACTGTTGTTCTCCTTTCACAATGATGAATTGTTAAACAACTTGAATATAGTTTATGATGCATAAACAAACATCAGATAAACACAAATCTCTCCAAGTTGAGAATGACAGAAAGAAAATCCCAACCTCTGAAGCTCTTCATGCTGGTTTCAGACAAAATGACTGTAACTTGATGAAATACTAACATTAAACGGATCTCTAACTGGCAGTGGTGGAAACAAGAATGTACTCAAGTACTTTTCCTTAGTACATTTTTCAGGTACTTTTTTCCATTTTCCACTACTTAAATTTCTACTTCTACTCCACTACACGTCAGAGGCAAATATTGTACTTTTTAATCCATCGCATTTATTTGAGAACTTTGGTTACTTTTACAATAACAAATATAATAAGGAATACATCTTTATAGTAGCTATCTGTCTTTATTGATCCCTGGAGGGAAATTCAGCAACACAGCATTATATAAATTAATTAAAATTAGTCTCACCTTTATCAGCTGCAAAATTAAAGTGATATTAATGTATCAATAGTAATAAACCAATAATTTAACTTAAATTATTCTGAAAATAGCCATTCTGCATTGTGTGAACTTCTACTTTTGTTACTTTTAGTATAGTACTTCTGCACCATTGCTACTTTTACAGAAACTATTTGATGATTGATAAATGAATTCAAATGAATTGCCAACAATTGTGATAAATAGTTAACCATGTGTCATTTGTCAGGCAGAATGCCAAATATTTTGTGGTTCAAGTTTGTCAAATCTCTCAAATGTCTCAGGTTTATATTGTACATTTTGTTTTACATATTTTTGTTTTGTTTTAAACAAAAGAACCTCCTGAAACAATGTGAAATTGTAGATACTTTTTCAGTTTAATTTTGAGTGACTGAAACCTGACTCAGACTCATCTTAAGATCTGCTCACTGCAGCCTAATTTCGGTCAAATCACACTGTAAAACTAAATGTTAGCTCCTTCCAGTCAGAAACAGAAAGAAATGTAAATGAAACCCGCTCACAGAAACAGAGGTGAACATCCATCTTATCCAAGTTAGGAGCTAAAAGCATCGTCTTACCCCATTACTGCATTCCTCGATCTCTAATGCATTTTCCAACAACTGCGGCATCTTTTAATGCAGCTGACCACCCGCCTACATAAGCTACGCTACTCATCCACCAATCACATCAAATGATCTCCAGAGCATAAGGGACCAGGACGCCACACCAGCTGTGGTCATCTGTAACTGTCAATCACCTCATCCCCCACCCACACTTCCCTTTAAACACACGCACACACACACACACACACACACACACACTCTCTCTCTCTCTCTCTCTCTCTCTCCCTCTCTCTCTCTGCAGATAGAGCTGTTCCCTCAAGATGAGGTATTTATGAAAGTAAATGCTTCTACAGTTGCAAGTCAGTAAATCATGGTAAAGGTTGACTCTAAGAATACCACGTTTGAGACGCCAACATGGTTTTATTACTCTTTCAATCACATTATTTTTAAATAAAATGTATCCCCCACTTACTACTCTATAGGAAAAAGCTCTTTCATTTTTTTCCCAGTAATAATTCTGACTTCATGCCCAAATATTGAAGAATTACAAACCATGCATTTGTGGCAGTAAAGAGTAATACAATGACTCAGATAATCACATTATATCAAAAGATATGGTTAGTACAGAACTAGTTACTACTTACAATACTTTGCAGCTTAGGATTTTACAAACAACATGAAATACCTCATGAAGCACAGCTGTTGGGAGGTAAAATCTTGTCAATGTTTTTAGTGACTATGAAAAATACAGTAAATACAAAGCCAGCAGCTTGCTGGTTAGCTTAGCTTAACATTAAGACAGAGGGAAACAGTTAGCCTGGCTCGCCGATTTCACCATTTTCTTTTATGAATTATGATGAGATATATGTTGATTAGTGAGCTTTAAATGTGTTGGTAGGTGGATTTTGTTTTATCTTTTGGAAAGAGCCGGGCTGTTTCCAGTATTTCTGCTAAGCTACGCTAACTGCATTCTGGCTGCAGCATCATAATGAATGGACAGACATGGAAGCGGTATCCATCTTCCTCTTGTCAACATATTTCACTGAAGGTCAAACTTCTCCCTGAATCGAACATTTTTCGATTGCAGTATTAATATGTTCACCTCATTAAAGGTTTATAGAAGTCTTTGCATCTCTGTATTCAAACATAACTTATATCCACGTGTTGACTTACATGCAAAAAGCCACACGTTTGTCAGCCAGCTTCAGGATTTAGAGGGATTTATTTTAATTAAAAACTCTCTCCACTCTCATTTCATAAACTTTAATATATATCTCTATCAGCTGTTGCACTCAAGAGGTGTGACAAATTAAAGATATGAAGATACAGTGCAGCTCTAGCTGGCAGCATTACAGTTCATCAAGACCCCTTTAATGTTTTCTGTTTTGAAAACCAGCTTCTGCAATCCAACAGAATATTTACAGTTGGTTTAACAGAGATTAGACTGAACACACTACGGAACAACTTTGTTTCTCACTCTGGGTTCTCTTTCAATTTAAAGACTACAAGGCTGTCAGTCACAGCTTCGAGCTAAATGCTAACGTCAGCATGCTAATATTCTCACAATGACAATGTTAAAACGCTGAAGTTAAGCAGGTATAATGTTTATCATGTTCACAATCTTTGTTTAGCGTGTGAGCATGCTCACATTTGCCAATTAGCACTAAAAACAAAGAACACCGGAGGATGGGATGGCATTAGATTTGCAGGTGTTTTGGTCATAAGGCACAAGAGGCAAAGTCAGGAAGGGACCACCAAAGATATTACAATTCATCCTGAGGGGGACATTGATGTGTGTACCAAATGTTATGGCGACAATGGTTGTTGAGATATTTATATTTATATATGATAAATAATCAGTAATATGGGTATAATGACTAAGTGGGTAAAGGCAAATAATATAAGAGCTAGAAAAGTTTAGTAAGTTCAGAAGCCCTACTGGGATATAAATTAATTAAAATGGACACATTTTAAAAGCCAACCCTGCTATCATGTTTGTTGTTGTGATTCTCTCTAATTCTGGAAAGTACAGTATAATGAGGGATTCTCCAGTTTGTGTAATTTCCAGTATCGTTCTGGAACATGTTTCCAAACATGCCAACACTAACCCGTGTCTGTATTGTGTTCCATTTATCGCAAGAAACCACTAATGTCTGACCGCCTCGACCCTCCTCACCGAAAAAAAAAGACAGATGGTTCAAGATAACACAATCTTTTAGATATCACTACCAGTCTTTGTATTCCCACAGACTGTAACCAGTCTGCCTGATTCACTATCACAGTGTCAGCAGACACGGTGTCCCGCCTTCTCCTCCTTGCAGGCTTTTTTTGATTTGCATTTGTTCCCTCTTTCTCTTGTCTCCCTCCTCAGCTGTCATGTTGTGGTCAGAGGTCAACGGCTCTGAGCCAGGTGCCTGCTGGGACAGCTGCCACAGGATTTACACACAGACGGCACTAAACTGCAGATGTGGCCTTTTAGTGCCGGCCAAGTTACAAATGTTAGTGAACTTGAAGCGTATTGGGAGAAACTAAATATCAATTTCTCCACCCATTCATTCTTGACATATTGAAGGTTCCTTTAATAGTATTCTAAAAGATATTTTTGGGGCTTTTATCAGATGACAGGAAAGATGGAGGAGAGTCAGAAGGCAAAGACATGTGCCAAAAGTCCCTGACCGGATTTTAAACTTAAACTCTTCGCACAGATGTTTCGCTTCAATCATGCAAACGTTTCTACAGACAAAACTCGGAAATATAACATTTTCAAGTAGTAAAAGTTCAGATTGTTTTGGAGAATAATCTCATCCCTAAAGGCTCTAAACTATCTTTGTGGTTTCAGTCACCTCCAAACAATACTTCTCTTTTCTCAAAGTACCCATCTAAACTGTTCTAACTAAAAAATAATAAAGAATAGATGTGAATATTGTGCTTGAACGGCTAAATACTCACAATGCACTTAAATGCCCAACAGGCAAGTTTCACACCTATTATAAGTAGAGTTGAGTGCAGAAAACAAGAAAGGTGACAGAATCTCCAGATAATCTTATCTGCTCAGGAAAGGAGGGCTAAAAATACAGCTGGTGTGAAGCACAGAGACAAGGTAGAGCGATACCAGATGCATTGTGACATTAATGGTAAGTCAGGGACACTTCGACACATACACACACACACACACACACACACACACACACACACACACGAGTACCGCCTGCTGGCATCACTGAGACCAGTGGACTAATGATAACCCTAATGTATCGTTACTGTTAAATAAATAAGATTTTTCGCAATCAGTGAGCTTCGACCAGCTTCTATCAAGCTTCTAATCTCTCAGTTAATGTTTAGTCACTATCAAGCAATACAACACTAAACTAAATTAGATGTAATATGTGACAGCTTATCTTTATTCTTCTGAAGCACTTTGATCTTGTTCTATGGAAGATGCTATAAATAAACGTTACTTGCTTACTGTAATTACTTACTCATTAACTGAAGAAAATAAAAGTTTCTTCTGGGGAATTAAATGTTTTCCTCTTTACTATTGTCTGGATGGTTTATTGGCGACACTGACATTAATTTAACTTACAATAAACAACTATATATAGACCTTAAAGAACTAGTTGATACAAAAAAAGGATAATATATATTTGTATCAATTAATTGTTTCAGTCATTTTTAAAGCAAAAATTGCTCGAGATTGATTGGTATCAGCTTCTGTGAAAATTTGCAAATGTCTTAAATTCCTAGGTATTCTGTGATAGTAAAAGGGATTACCTTTGGGTTCCCCACTTTTGATCACATGTCAACTAGAGGTCCAAGAAATGCTGATTTATTAATGAGCCCAAACTCATTCAACTATGGACTGTATTCAAATTTGTAATCATATAATGACACTCTTTTTCGCAACCCCTGAATCCATAGTCACCTTATAAAGTCTCAACAAACTGGACATTTGATGACGCAGGGTTGTGAAGACAAACATTTATGTGAGAGCAAATCAAGGAGAGTTTTACCTGAACTATGCTGGGGTAGCATGTGGCTGTCTGTGGGTAGACGGGGAGTCCATAAGGCTGGAGAATCATAGTGGGTGAAGAGAGCATGGCCCAAAAACCACGCACAAGGAGACAGGGAAGGGTAGAAGATGGGAGGAGAAGGAGAAGGAAAGCAAGGGAAAGGAAAATGTATTATGCAGTCAGGAGAGCCGGCGATCAGGCTGGGAAAAAAAATTAAGAAAAAAACCCAACAGGAGAAAACAAAATCCAAGAGGGCGAGGGTAAGAAGAGTTCAGACTCAATTCAACCTCACAGATGAATCAAAGACGAAAACACAAAGAAAGTCCACAAAACAACCGATGCCCTGTCCAGATTAGACAGGATACAGAGCAATGAAAGAGAAAGCAAGTGAGCCTCTGTGTGTCCATCAGTTGATCATGCAGCCTGACGGACAGAAACACATGCCGAGGGTCCCATTTCAGAGTTATATAAATAGTCCCCCATGTCCTTCTCTCCGTGTTTACCACCTTACCACCCTCACTCTTAAACATGCTGTCATGCAAGATTTCACACCAGATGTTACACACTTATAACAGCTTCTTCAAAAGTGTATAAGAAAACCCTGAATAGGCTAGAAAGGAGTTCATCGACTCCTTGTGTAACGTTACACTATAGTTATATGCTCCACCAGCTAAAAATCTGTTATAATCTTAAAGTGGACCTATGTGACTTCATGAATTGTACTAATGACACACATATCTGCAGGCGAGCATGAGCACGCGCACTGATTTAAAACTAAAGACATACACTGTGTAGTGTTTTCAGCTGGTTTTTCCTGTTTGACCAACAGAGTGCGGTAAGTCCAACATTTCCACTTCCGGTCCGGCGCAGAGGTGCATTGTGGGATATGTAGCGCTTTCGTTGGCCCTATAAATAGATGGGAACTTCCACTAACGTTCTCTTTTCTCCGCTGGCCTGAGCGAGACAGGTAAAAACTATTTCCGCGTGCCTCTTCACGTCACAAACTCCGAACATTAGGACCTTATAGGTTCACAAACTTGCATGGGCATTTGAAGGAAACGTAGTTTAATGGGTTAACGTGTGATTTAATTAACCAACGTATAGTTTAGTAATGGATTGTTTAAGTGAAAAGCTAATTCAGCTAAGCTAACGCTAGCTTGTCACATCGAACAACGTGGTGCGGTGCAGCTGCGGCCTAGTCGTAGGTTTGACTAATGGTTGATTTATAACGCGTATTTACTCTATTTATTGTCGCACATGTATTTAGGGAAGCCTTTCTACTGTAGCAGTGTTTACTTATTTCCACATACTAGTACCTGTATATAAATGCAGAGCAACATGTTAGCTTTACTGTGCAACCAACGTTGTGTTTTAGTCCAATGCTTAACTGCGACTATAATAATCATTACAGGGATATTATGTGTAATGTAAATATGGCTAATTATGATGTATTGTGTAAGATGTAATGGACAAACTCAAGTGACATGTTTGAAACGGGCCTGTTGCATGCCTCCATTTTTTTTTTTTTTTTTATTCAGATGGTTTTATGGCAGTGAACACTATTCTAAAAGGATAATTTGACAACTTCAAGGGTGTAACATTAGTCTACTTTGAGTCTTCAGTGTGAATTTGACTAGCCATAGAGGATGTCTGCTAATAAATTGCTAACTTAGGGAGACGGTGCTTAAGTAATATTTACCCATCTCTGTTGCATTTTTGGTTACCTAAACTAACTTCATTTCTATCTGATATTGCAGGCACTAAAAAGCCGCCATGCCCGTTGCCAGGAGTTGGGTTTGTCGCAAGACTTATGTCACCCCCCGACGTCCCTTCGAGAAGTCCCGTCTCGACCAGGAGTTGAAACTCATTGGTATGCTGTGATTTCATTAACACCAGTTTAAATCGTACCCAATGTCCTTTTAGGCTAGACTTAACTTTGACTGATTACTGTCTCATCTTTAAAGGCGAGTATGGTCTGAGGAACAAGCGCGAGGTGTGGAGGGTCAAGTTCACCCTGGCCAAGATTCGCAAAGCTGCCAGAGAGCTGCTCACTCTTGACGAGAAGGACCCCAAGCGTCTGTTTGAAGGTATGCAAAATTAATTAAAACGCAGCTTTGAGCGTTTTATTGGCCGATGATTAAAACATATATTTTCTCAGACTTTCTGTGGTGTCAAGAATTCCTCGTCAATGAGGCCAATATTGCTACTTCACTAAATGTACCTTAAGCACCTATCTGTTTGGGATTGTAAAATCACTCCTGTGTGCTTTCCCAGGTAATGCTTTGCTCAGGCGTCTGGTGAGGATCGGTGTACTGGACGAGGGTAAGATGAAGCTGGATTACATCCTGGGTCTGAAAGTTGAAGATTTCTTGGAGAGGAGGCTGCAGACCCAGGTCTTCAAGCTTGGACTTGCCAAAAGCATCCACCATGCTCGTGTCCTTATCCGCCAGAGGCACATTCGGTAAGCTCTAAGGCACCAGGGGCACAAACGTCAAATAATCCAGGGGTCACAAGTCTTATAAGGGACTCATCAGAAACTCAATGCTTCCTCTTCCATCAGAGGTCCACCAACTTGTAACGCTGTCCGCTGAGAACTGTTAAACGTTTCAAAAAGGTCAATTCGGTATCAAAACCGTATACCTTGTCAGTAGACATTGCCCAGAGCCAATCCTGCCTCCGAGGGCTTGGACCGTGCCACTGTTGTGGCTGTCGGGTAAGATATGGGGGATTGCACCTCGGGCAACTGTCGTATTCCCTACAACTTGTATAATGTACTAAATACTCGGGCTGAAAGTTGTATGTTAAAATGTTCTGTGGTGTAAAGATTCCTCTCGATAAAGCCTGTTGTACAATGATGGCACTAGCCCATCTACATTAATGCATTTGAATAAAATGGTAACGTTCTATCTCTTTCTGTCTTGGCAGTGTGCGCAAGCAGGTGGTGAACATCCCCTCCTTTGTGGTTCGCCTGGACAGCCAGAAGCACATCGACTTCTCCCTGAGGTCTCCATACGGTGGTGGACGCCCAGGCCGCGTCAAGAGAAAGAACGCGAAGAAGGGCCAGGGTGGAACTGGAGGAGCTGACGATGAGGAGGAGGACTAGGAAGGCTGTCGTCCAGGAAGTGTCCTGATACTACCTGTTCTGTCAAATTTTCAATAAAAATAGTTTGTTTTGACCAGAGAACTGAGTTGTTGTGTTTTTCTATACTTAGAATAGTGGCTCTACTGAAGTCCATACTATTATATAACTTTGTACAAGGTTTGAATTGTTCCGTAATCATGGACATGAGGAGTAAAATATTGATTGTACTGAGGAAAGTAATTTCCTGTTGCATAATAAATCAGAGGTTATGAGGTGCATTAGTTATGAAAGTGCGGTTAATTCCATGGACTATATAAAGTTAATCCTTGTCTGTGGTGTCGCAATCTTTGACACCCCCCCATTTAGAATGGTACCGTCCTACATGACGTCATCTTCCTCACACCGGGAAGTGAACGCATTGTGATTGTCAGGGGTGTGAATGGGTGGTTTGGTTAAATGTGCGGGCTGTGCCAGAGACCGGAGTTTATTTAACCGTAGTGATTCAACGAGTTACAATTGTGAGTACAACTTTCAAAGTGACGCTTGCTACTTCAACGGTTGGTCGCTGAGGTAGCCACTAAGCTAATGAGCATTGTTTGGACCTTTTTAGTGAATGCTAACGTTTGCAGCTCTCTGGAGACTGATGGTATGTGGTAGACACGTTTTAGTCTAGTTTTGATTTTTCAAGAGCCAAGAATACATCATGTAATCAGTTTTAACTCCTTGCTGAAAGCGATCGAAGTTGCAGCTGTTTGTCCCCTTTTCCTCCTGTGACCGAGATCTGTGTACTGTCACAAACTCAGCTACTTCATACGTTAGCCTGTGGATGAGTTCTCGTGTTACTTCAGTGTTACTTCAGTGTTATGTTACAATGCAAATTGTGTTGTTCCTTGCGTCTAAAATGCAAAATAATAGTACACGGTGCTGCAACAAAGTTACATGGTGCGCTTGCATAAGTCCCCGGATATATTGTCAAATGCACCCTGAAGATGTTCTCACTTCTCAGTATTGTTGCTGTTCACATTGAATCTTATCAGGACTGCTGTGCAAATTTGTTTCCCAATTAAGCAATGAAATTACCAAGATTAATGGTAGACAAATTAGCATATTTAGAACAAACTCATTGTGAATTAATTACTATGTTGTGGCTGCAAAAAATATGTCCACACATGTCAAAATGGAGGGAAATGATGGTGCAAATTCATGATATAACACGTAGACTATGAGGCAACATTTTTTTGTAATTCAACAACTGTAAACCTAGTGACAAACACTTTTGTATGTTACTTTTGGATGAAATATTCCCTCCGCGTTGCAATATTATGTGATCAAGCTCTGACAAAATCCTCAAAAGCTACTGTAGGATTTAATCAATATATCTGTGATGCGTTCTCAATAGAAAATAGAAAAGATCAGCTTCACCAAGGTAGTAATAGTTTCAGTCTATTTGAATGGATTGTGTTGTATTTCCTGCTTTTGTTCTGTGTGCTGTTCCCTCATAATTATGGATTGTCTATTAATGATGTTTCATGTGTGTGTAGTTATTTATAACTGATCTGTGTTTCTGTGCCAGCAGAGCGATGTCTCCTGACGAGCTGGTGTACTTGGGAATACTTGCTGCCTCCGTCCCTGTTGGATTCCTCTTCCGATACCTCAGTCAGTATTTTGGAACATAATAATAATAATAATACATTTATATTTGTCTTCTGATGGTGAAAAAACTAAACTTTTGCAGTTGTTACTGTTTTGCATTGCGGCACAGAAAACAAGGATTTGTCATTTTTCACAAATAGAGGATAGACAAATTATGTTTTTTTTTTCTATGACATTGTTGGAGATGCACAGTTATGCACCGATCAACATAAATATTATGATCAAAATGCATCAGCAGAACCAGAGATATCTTCTTTTTTTATTCCACACATTGTTACCCACAACACAAGTAATCCTTTTCTGATTCCATTGCTGCTGGAGAGGAGAGCAATATGTGGAGATATACAGAGTTTTCAAGACTTTTTATGCTGTGTTTCAGGTGCTTTTCCCACCCCATGCTGCTCCTTGATAGAGGGCTGTAGGTGGCTTAATTGTTTATCTTTGCTTTCACTTCAGGTCCTCCTGTGAAGCAGGGGGCGGCTCTTCTTCTGGGCCTCTCTATCGCCATCGGCACTTGTCACGTCCACACCCTCCATTCTCTTGTGACGGTGGTTGGAATATGGATTATTATAAAGATCAGCTGGCGGTGAGGGATGAGCAGTAAAAACAAAGAGATACATGAATTAGATAAACAGTAAATGTCACACAACAGGGTTCAATCAGTGCGAAGGGGACAAATCTGTCGCCATGACCTGGACTGTAGATACTGTGCAGAGAGAACATGTAACTCACTCATAACATCTGTCTCTGTCTACTAGGCATGCCCCAGCATTGAGTCTCACCTGGACCTTTCTCTACCTCCTCTTCTTCCGTCTGGTCACATGGTTCGGTCTGCCATCGCCGACACCTTTTGCCAACGCCATCCAGCTACTTCTCACTCTCAAGGTACAGAAACGTTGTCAGATCTACCCGGTGTCTTTACACGTTGTGCATCTCTGTTGATGTCATTTTCTGTTCTGAACTCAGATGGTGAGTCTAGCGAACGAGGTTCACAGCTTCCGCGTGGAGAAGAAAAATGAAGTGAGCTCTTTTGCCAAGTCTCCCATCATTGGTGGTCTGTCTCAGGAGCCCTCCCTCTACGACATTCTGTCCTATAGCTACTGTTATGCTGGTATAATGACCGGTAAGTCTGTGGAAACGTCTGATGCTTCTCAGGATCTTCTCCTCTGAATAATGTTGGCAGGAGCAAGTTCTGTCAGTTCTGATTTTATTAGTGAACGTTTAGAAATCAAACATTATGTTTGTGTGCAAGCAGTTTTCATTCATGTGTGTTGTTGTTGTGAATTTGCTTTTGCATGCATTTTAACTGTTGTCTCTCTTTGTCTCACTCTCCGCTACTTGTCCAATATTGTGAGTCAATATCGTTTTTCATGTTATCTAGAATGACTTCTGGTTTTAATATACCTCGACTCTCTTTTTGTTTTCCTACACCAACCTCTCTTCTTTTTGAACCACACTGTCCTCCAATGTTTCCTTTTGTGTCTTGCATTATCCTTATTGTCCATTTTTGCCTGTCACTGTCTTCTCAACACCACCTTCACTCCTTAATCTACTCCCTCCATCTCCCGAAAGGTCCGTTCTTTCGCTTCCAAACATACGCTGACTGGCTGAGGCAGCCGAGCCCACAGGCTCTGCCCGGCTGGGTGCCGTGCCTGCAGCGTTTAAAGATGGTTCCTGTGTACGCCGCTTTGTTCATGGCTGTCAACTATGTCTTCCCACTGGCCTACGTTCGCACAGAGGAGTTTCTGGACCAAAACATTTTCTTTAGGTATTTTTAGTCTTTTAATAATACTAACAATGTCAGTAATAGGAGTTGTAGATTTATTATATCATAATTTAATGAATGTGTATTAATAATGTGAGCAACTGCATACAATACAAGAATGTCAATGCATGACAAGAACGCACTGAATCAAAGCAACTAATATAAAGAAAGCCCTTTGTCAAGCATACAATGTACATTTTAAACGCGTTTTGTACGAGGTTCTGTCATCTAATGGAGAACATTTGAATGAAAACATATGATAATATAACATGTAGAAATATTTCAGAATATTTGCTGAATTGTGCTGGTAGCCGGTTAACTTAGACTACAGTGTAACGATTGTACAATATGTCTCCACTCATTTCTTTTCAGGAGCGTGGCTGCTGTTTGTCAGAGGAAGGCAAATGAAATGAGACAAATGAATGAAAAGAAAGCACAGCATAGGATTCACAGTGAGCTAAATACAACAGTGCTGTGGTTTAGGATAGTAGTGGAGGGCCCAGTAGTAAGTTAGGGATGGATGTCTTAGTAAAATCCCTACAGTTGTTTGGTAAGATAGAGATGAACGATGTACTTTTCTCTCTCGGTCACCAGGGTCTTCTACATGGTAGCAGTGTTCTTCGTGTTTAGGATGCGTTTCTATGCAGCGTGGTGTGGAGCTGAGGCTGGTTGTATCAGCGCAGGTCTGGGCTGCTATCCCGAAAAGGCTTTGTCCAAACCTGGAGGAGGGCCCACCGTCAACTACAGGTACACAACCACAGGACTAACATGTATATTGAAAGACGATCATTATTTGTGTATTCTGTCAAATGTAATTGCATTCCTCTGTAACACCTCAGTGTGTATTAAGTTAATATTGTTGTTGTGAAAGTTGATATTTATGCCAAGTTGTTTTTTTCCCTTGTGGCCAGTCCTGATCCAACCACTGAAGAGAATTATGACTTCAAAACCATCCAGAACATCGACTGCTACAACACAGACTTCTGTGTGAAGGTCCGCCATGGCATGCGTTACTGGAACATGACAGTGCAGTGGTGGCTGCATCACTACATCTACCCGAATGCCCCCTTTAAAGCCTACGCTCTCAGGTGAGGCTTTATGTGTGCAGCAGCTTCTGCTTGTTTCACAGGCACCTGTACCCAAACTCATCCATAAATTCCTGTGTGGTGCGTTTACGAGAGTAAATGGTGCATTTTTTTCATGGATTTAGTTCACCAGTGACTATTTAAGGCAACAGGATGATGTAAGTCGGAGCGATTAACAGGATCATTTTGGCTTCTGGTCTCCTCGTGGTATTTGTTGACAATAATTCAAATACAGAATATCACCAGATTCATCCCTTGAATCAAATTTTTCTCGATACAACTTCTGTAATGTTTAGTCCCTGAAAGATGGACAACATGTCGTGATTGTTTCATATCCTACCACACACTTTGAATAATTCCTTTTTAACTTCTTTTGCCCGTAATCCCTCCTGATCCTGCTCCAGCTCCAGCATCTTCAAATTATTTTACCTGAAACAAATGAAAAACCCCTCGCAGTGGCGTGTCCGTATGACTTCAACATCTCTCCTGTTTGTCTGTGACTCTCAGGGCTGGCTGGACCATGTTCATCAGCGCCTACTGGCATGGACTACATGCCGGTTACTACCTCTCCTTCCTCACCATCCCCCTGTGCATTGCAGCCGAGTCTGCCATGGAGGCCTCTGTCCGAGCTAAACTGGGTCCTTTTGGTCAGAACATCTTCGACTGGATCCACTGGTTCTTGAAGATGAGGGCCTACGACTACATGTGCATGGGCTTCGTGCTGCTGAAGGCCTCTGACACCATCAACTACTGGACCTCCATCTACTTTATCATGCACATCATCGCCGTTTGCTGCATCATAGTTGGCACAGTTCTAAAGGGAGGGAAACGGGAAGGAAGGAGAGGAGACAAGGAGGAGAAAAGAGAGGGAGAGAAGATAGAAAACTTGAAAACTGGGGAAAAAGCTGACTGAAAGGAGGAACAGAAAAGAACGGGGGGGGGGGTACTTTTTTGGGACATGAGGAGGAGTCACTTTAAGACTAGAATTTATAAACATAATTCGTACCAACTATCTTCCCCGAAACAAACGTCACACAGGTCCAATAAGATTCATTCTGGGGAAATGTGAAAGTTATTAACAATGTGAGATAAATCAGACAAAAGTGCGACAAGAAAAATCTGGTAAAAGACATTCTATATGTGTACATGTACACAATAGTACTGTGAATACTGGGAGAGGAATCTTTGAGCTTAATGAATGTTACTTTTATAGTGTGAGTGGCAACTGGGGTGTAGTTATTAGTTAAACAGCATTTACTGCTTTTATTTCACAATACTTTCCCCCGTTTGAAGTCTTTAAGTAAACTATATTACCGGTTGTTGAAATGTCAAGATGCTGCTTTAACAACCAGCAGTATGTTTAAGTCAAACAATAATTTACCAAATCCTCATAATGGTCTTAAAGATATTTAAACGGGAATGTGATTCAATTGAGTTTCCATGACCAACCAAACGTTCCAGCCGCGTTCAGTATTATGTTATAGTACGTTTATACTGGAGTACAGAATGGATGGATTGTGATAAAAAAAAAAAAAACATCATAATGGTGTCATCATCAGTACTCGGATGTTATTTTTGTGTGTTTTCAAATTCCTTAATCTTACGTCTCAAAATATTTCTGCTGCCATTTGGCGTCTTAAATCAGATCTTTGACTGTTTTTGACCACAGTACATTTATTAGAATTATGTTTTTGTGATTGTTAACTGCTGAGAAAGTACAATGTAAAGCTCACTGTGCACGGTCCAGACTACATTTGCATTGCTGTCTAATTACATTAGGACTTCTTTAAGTGTTTGGTTTTGGTTTCCAGCATAATTAATGTTCCTCATTTTATTTGCTGAACATTTCAGTGCTTTGGTTCACTCCCTCGATCCAGTGAATCCAAAATGTCTTTGTTTGTTTATGTTCTGCACTGACAGCTCTATAGCACTGTTGTACACGAGTGTGCCATGTGTAAGATAGCAACAGTCCGTTCACTGCCAAAATGTCTGTACTGCCATCATGGACCATTCGGGATTGGGACCAAACATTTGATACAAAACATCGCAAGTTTCACGTAACTATAAGCTGCCAATCGAAACGCTCATGAAAAACAGCACAGCTAGGGCCGGGCAATGTGGTTGAAGTCACTGTCACAATGTTGATATATGTCATAATATCAAAAAACAAGTATGCATTAATGCAATAATCAAACTGATGTTCAATAAACGCTCCCTATGTTAAGCATTACATGTGAACAAGCTTATAATATCTACAAGACGAATGCTTTTTGCTCGGGCAGCAGAAATGTCTGCAATGATAACATCATGTGATCATATCGATCACATGCTTCCGCTGAAAGTTGATAAATGATATTGACCTATCGCCCGGCTCTTAACCGTGATTAACTCCTGTCTGAGATTATGAATACCTCCACCGTGTCTGTGTTTTATATACGAGCATGACTCACAGCGGAATTGAAAGGTCTCGTCTCCCTTTGTGTTTTGCTCTCCACATGTTACCTGTCATGTGATTCCCTTTTGTTTTCATTATTGCACAGGGATGATTGTGACTTGTGCTCATCTCCACACTATTTTTCAGCCTTTCCAGCTTCACATGCTGCACCGACTGTAACGCTCCCTGCTCTTATAACAGTGTTACTTGTGGAATACATATCAGCATTTCCTCATCGATGTTACTGTCTTGCCTATTCTTTCTCTAAAGTATACTTTATATGATCATCTGTGCATTTGTTGTTTATTACATGGAGTCTATAACTACGCATTAGGATAATGCTTGTAGAAAAAGGCTTTTATACATCACAGTTGTTCAGTTGTCAGACTGGGGAAACATTAATTCTCCTAGTTAGTGAACAAAAAACACGCCTGCTTAGTTCCCTCACACCAGCGTTTCAGTGCTTTCTTTCAGCTTCTTTAAGCTAAGAGAAACTGCACCCTTTTGTTAAATCAAACATTTCGTAGTTGGTGAATTCATATTAACTTGTAACATTTAAATCATACATTGCATTTGTTCCCATCACTGCCCACAGTTTAAACTCACCAAAATAATCCCTGAAGTTCACTCTTCTTTGAACTCCACAATAACACAAAGTAATTTGAGTACAACCTGTTCTCTTGCTGTATGCTTCTTTTCTTCTGGCTGGTTATTGGACAGTGCAAATTGTAAATGAATGGCAACTATCTCCTTGGAAATAATGGGTTAAATCATACAAGGAAGTACCTGTGTGGTCATTTACAAGGGGAGTGAAGTCCGTGAGAGAAAACAGCAGGGAAGGTGTTCCTGCATAGGCAGCATTTCCTCACCATTTGTTTCGTTCTGGATCTGTTGCTGGTAAAGTATTAGATGTAGTTACAGAGGAAAGTCTTGAATACTCGTTGTGTTAAACTACATTAGAGAAATGTCCAGTGAACCACAGAGACGAGGCTCCAGAGAGGCGTACGACTACGATGAAGGTGTGTCTTTTCTTACCTCTGAACACATTTACCTCTATATTAGTTCATTTTAAACACTTAGACAATATTTCAACCGTCTAAATATCTAAATAATATCTCTGCTGATGTGGAATCATCTTCTAATCTGACTGAATTGTGTTGACTCATATTGCTTTGCTGTTTTTTCTTACCCACTCACAGGGAATGGTTACCCCAGTGAACAGCATACGCTAAGGTTACGACGGGTTTCATCTCGAGTGTCCAATCAAAACTATCCTCAGCACGACTTGAGCTCGACCCTCGCAGAGGAGAATGAAGAGGGCAACAGTGGACCGCCTCGGGACCTCAGGGCCATTCCTCTGCCCATGGCCCTGAAAAGAGCTGTGAGGTATGAAACATGGTTTATATCTTAAAACACTTTGAAATATAATCTAAAGGGACTATAATCCATATTTTTACAATAATAACATATCAAAAGATAAAGTGTTAACCAATGTTTCAATGTAAAAGGAGTTGCTTGTAGTTCTGAATCTACAGAGAAAGATTTATATGGAGCTTATAGTGAGTTTCAGGTCAACTTTAATGGTTCACTCTTACAGCTGCTGGTTTCAGCAAGAAAGCTCTAAAAACCTACTGTAAGATACGTAGTCAGCACCGAACAGCAGACAGACACAGTTAGTGGAGCATTCAGCAGCTGAAGAGTCACATATTTCCTTTAGAACTTGGTAGAGACCCAATACAGAGTAAATATTGGACTTGCATTCATCAGGTGGCCTGAAATTCCAGTCCTTCTTACTTTCCTTTTATTATTTCATAGTATTAAATTATGTGTTATTGTCTTTTATGCACCATTTATGTCTTTAATTGTGTTTATACCTGTATTGAGACTAACCCGATCACCCCTGCTGGACCTTTGGGTCAACTCCTGTTGTTTTTATATGTTCTACATAAGTAAACCATAGAAATAACTGACTTGACTTGACTTAAAACATGACTCCAAATGAATGATAATGTTTCATTGTAACAGCTGGATGTTTAAGAAGCATCTGTTTGCTACCAAATTCCCATTTCAACTTAAACGGTGATGATGTGTCAGTTCAGATGCCCCCAAGTGGCCAAAAATTAGTTATTGCAGGTTGAAGTCAAACCCTATCTTCAGTTCTTAGTGCACTGTATGTGTGTTAGAGGCTTCAAGTTTCCACACTTAAGTTGCAAATCGAACCACAATTAGCTGCCAAACCTAGCTGTGTTGTCACAAAATCTTGCTCATACATACACGTCTTAAATTAAACCTAGATTTAAGGTGAGCACAGACAAACTTACCTCCTTCAAACTCATACACCCTTCACACATACATTGTTTTGCACAATTATGGTCTAAGTGAAGTAACACTAAGCAACACACATTGTTTAGTGGACGGGATCTTTAATAATTGAAATGGTACACAGCTTAAAACAAGGAACACTAATGTGACAGAATGTCACACACCTTAATTAATTGGAATAATTCATTAGAAATGTACGACCTGAACACTATCGCTAGTTTCCGTGTAGTTAATTTCTTTTGAGGAAAACTTATTTGGAGAGTACAGAGCCATAATATAAGAATGTTAATGATTAATTACATCACACAGTATTTACTCCAGAGTCATTTAAGTGTAACGTGTCTATTACAGGCAGGTGCAGCAGATGCAGGTGCCTGTGGTTTACAGCAGGCAGTCCTGGAGACGGAAAAGGACCAAATCTCTGCATAAACTCAAAGTAAAAGCCAGAGAATCTCTCCACTTTTTCATACTGTGGAGAAAGTCTTTGCAAAAGATTGGAGGTAAACCTTTAATTACTCATTTCTGGACTACAGTTTGCTGTATGCTACATGCATAATATTGTCCAATTTTTGCATTTTTAATAAAATCTTTGGCCCTTTCCCCCCCAGGGAACTTCGGAGGTGGCGTCCAGTCTTACTTCCTGTTCCTGCGATTCTTGGTGGTGCTCAATTTTGTTTCCTTTTTGCTGATTGCTGGATTTGTCCTCATCCCCAGCATTGTCTTCAGATCTGCCAGGACCAGCCTTGTTAACAGCACTGGTAATGTCTTGTTCAAGCTGCAGTTTGTTAGCTCACAACATTTCCTTGAGGGTAACACATGGCACTTTGTTTTCATGGATCTTCATTTCTTCTTCTTTCCTGCATTCTGACGTTTCAGCACAATTGATGCCACAGTTTCCAGGCAACAGGGGCTTAGAGGCATTACAGCAGTACCAGCCGTAGTATTCCCCTCGGAAATAAAGTGAAGTCACCGGTGCATGAGCAGAAGATATATTCCCAAAACAATCTCTAAATTAAAATGTAATTACCTGAGGTTGATCTATAAGTTTGTGTAAAATATAGAAGATATAATGTGGAAACATTTTATCATGCACTGCTAAGAACTTAAGCTTCTTTCCTACCGACTTTCCAAAGCTCAAAGTAGTTTTTATCATTTTTGCCCTCAGTCATTTTCACAAGAGCATGTGCCACAATTTCTCTTTATATTTGATAAAACCCTTCGATTTTTTTAAAGCTGTCTTATGTGCGTTATCGAGATGACAGTTTAGGGATTAAGACCCTCTGCCTCTGCTATCAAGTGAGCTACAGGCCTGCATCTAATCACCGCTGAGGCTTTCACTCTCCTTCTCTTCTTCTCTTTATGTTACTCTTAAAACATTAGGACAACTACATGGCCTATACGTTCAGAAAGTTTCAGATATGCTGTGATTTATGAGTATGTATGCAGAAATGATAAAGCTTTTTCTTTGCTATGTTTTCCAGGTCCAGATGAATGCATGGTTTATGACCCTAATCCTCAAGGCTTGGTCGAGTTCTATAATTACTTCCTTGATTTACTTTCGGGAACGGTGAGAAACTGCAGCATCGCACTGACCTTCAAAGATAAGAGACGTGCAGAATGTATACAGAGACAGATATTAGTGTTATTCATTATTGGACATTGTGATTCTTTAAACCTTCGGCTTTCTATATATGTCTAAACTCTCTGAGACGAGACCGTAGCCAGGACATTAGAAGTACTGAGGTCATGAGTCCTACATGTGGCTTTTTTGGATAATACTTCATTTCTAGACATACTTTTACATGCTGACTTGAGGTCTCATTGGTTGCCAAGAGTTAGATGAGAAGATTGGTGACTCTCATGCCCGTTTATATTAAGTATAAATGTTAAGCAACCGCCTAAAGTCAGTTAGCTTAGCATAAAAACTGGAAACAGGGGGAAACAGCTAGCCTGGCTCCGTCCAAACAATATCCAACTACTGGCACCTCTAGACTAAAAAACAAAACAAGGTGTTTTTATAGACGTGGTGCCGAACTCCATCTTGGATGGGAGCAGACAATTCTTAATACATCATGAAAAGAAGGGGGGGGGTCATTTAAAACAGTCATATACAGTCTATGGCTGAGGCCTAAAATCAAACTTTTCAACAAAACTGAAAGTAACATAAAATAAAGTGGATATAACCTCAGTGATCAATAGTACTGCTTCCACATGCTCCTACTATATTCTGTCCTGATAAACGTGGATTCAAACCACCACCCATGAACATGTATTACATCAGACATGCTTGGTGACTGTCTCCTCTCTGTTCAGGGTTTCATGGAGTATTCATACCTGTTTTACGGCTACTACAACAACACAATGGTGGAGGACAGGAACGTCTCCTACAACATCCCCCTGGCCTACCTCTTCACTGCCGTCTTCTACTTTATCTTTTGTCTCATTTGTATCATTGTACGGTCAGTCGCAGAGCAACCAGACTCAATATGAACAATCAAAGTGCAGTCTGTGTGTATGTGTGTTCAGCCGTCTCAGTGAGGGTTATAAACAGAATGACATTTAACAGCCTGAATCGAGAGTTCAGTCACCTTGACCAGCATCTGTCTCCTCGTCCCTCTTAATGTGCAGCATGGGGACCACAGCTCGAGTTGCGGTGGCAACGGGAGGCAGCGCCGTGGGCAACTACAGCATGATAGTGTTCACTGGCTGGGACTATGGCTGCCAGGGAGACCAAGCTACCAAACTGAAGCAGAAGAACGTCCACTACCGGCTACAGGTCAGGAGGGATCTGTCCCACTTAGCAGGATGAAAGAAAGTCCGTAAAAAGAGTTTTTCTCTGTGCAGCACATCACAGTTTTGCATAATCATGCTTTCAGATGACCCCCGCTCGTCTCTTTTCTCTTTCTCTGTCAGGTGGATCTGGAGGAGGAGAGCATAAAGAAAAGAGCAGCCGCTCTGACTTTGTCTCAAAAAATAGTTGTATACTCTCTACGTGTTTCCATGTGTTTTGTTGCATTTGGGCTCATTATAGCAGCCTTCTATGGCATCTTCACGGCCACCACCTTCAGCCAGGTAAATTATGGAAAAGGTGTGCGATGATGTTCATGTGGTTTTGGGTCTGAAAGTCTTCGGTGACCTTTTGTTTCCCATCCCTGACACACAGACAAAGAGTGGTGAGGAAGGGATCCTGGGTTTGTTTTTCGAGTATCTACCTTCTATTGTTATCACCGCCGGAAACTTCGTGGTGCCGCTGCTATGTGACCAGATCGCCCTGTTAGAGCGATACACCCCCAGCACTACTGTCATAGTGGCACTGTTAAGGTTGGCACTGGTGTTTCTGTGAGAGAGTTGTTATGTCAGAGCATTTGCATTTAGTCATTTGTGTTTGTAAAGGGTTAGGGGTTAAGGCTTTAAACTAATTCTGATATTCTACAAAACCTGGAAATGTGTGTCACCTGACCTCAGTGGTGGAAGAAATACTCAAAACCTTTACGTAAGCAAGAGCACCAATACTCCATTGCAAGTATCAGTCCATTATTCAAGTGTATTTAAATAAAGTACAGGTGTATTATCAACAAAATGCTGTTATGATGCAGCTGGCTGAGGTGGAGCTACTTTATATACAGTTTAGTCCAGAGACATACAGGGGCCCTCCAGTGGCTAACAGGATTAATTTGAGGGGTCATGAGATTTCATGGAAGAACAAAAAAATTTATTTAAATAATTAAATAATTAGTTAATTTTCCCTCTTTGGGGCTTCAAACAATTATTTGAATGAAAGCATTTAGGTTTAGAGGATAACTCACCCATCAACCTGTGACAATATCCCATTCTGAAATGTAGTGCAGTGATGTAGAAGTGTACTCCAGGTTGTATAAACACTGCTTTACCACCTGGCAAATAGTTACGGTATAACATAATTTCACAGTCACTAGTCTCTCTTTTGTGTTTAACCTCTAAAGCTAAACCATGTAGTCGTTCAGTATCACAGTTGGTTTGATAATGATGCGTCTTGTCTGTTCCATGTTTAGGGCAGTGTTTCTTCGTCTGGTGAGTCTGGGTGTTCTTCTCTTCACCCTGTGGCGTCAGATCACCTGCGAAGGGAACATAGACGGTGCAGATTGTAAACTGTGCCAATACAACTATAAAGACTACCCGGTAATTATACTTCTTGAGTACATGTGAATTATTTTTAAATATGCTTCCTCTTTACAAACAGGATCGAAAGAGTCTCCAAGCTGCTAGACAACAGTTTAAGAAAGAAAATAGAGAGGGATTGAGATAAATGCAAAATATTTGTTTTTCTAATCTAACTTCTGTGTTATGGCTATGTTTACATGAGCAAAGAAGTCGGTTTGCAGTTTGAATCATTGCAGATGCAGACAAAGCTCCAAGTTAGCTGGAGCAACTGAGGAGATATCTGCAAGAATGAGACATAAACACACTGATGGTAGTTTTGTTTTGCCAAACACCTGTGAGTCACCAGAATAAAGAGAGAATACGACATGATTCTGAACTGAAGTATGTTTTGAATCTGTCACAAAGTCATAACTGACAAAGAGGAAGCAGCCAACTGTGTACTCAATAACGTATGACATGCAGTATAGTCACAGCTTATGTGTACAATGGTATAATAAGGAAATAATACGCCTACATTGAGCAAAATTGTCCTTATTTATGATTTTGGGTGAAACACCAAAGAATATAAAAGAAGGTTAATTTAGGATGTTTTCAACATTTAAATATTGTAAGACAGAGTCATCATTTAATGTTTGTGTCATCATGCAGTGCTGGGAAACGCGTGTAGGACAGGAGATGTACAAGCTGACCCTGTTCGACCTCCTCGTCAACATTGCTTTGCTCATCCTGGTGGAGTTTCCTCGCAGGTACAAATCACTGTGTGATTTTGTCTGTATTAAATTAGATGGAAATTCTTTCAAATTAATACAGTACATGAAGATTTTGGTAATTGTGCTGTGTTTTTGTGTGTGTGTTTGTCAGGATGGTGGTGGACAACTGGTCCAGTAAGCTGGCTCAGTGGGTGGGTCGACAGGAGTTTGTAGTTTCCGCCAACGTGCTTGGACTGGTTTATGGTCAGACTGTGGTTTGGACTGGAGCTCTTTTTTGCCCTCTGCTGCCACTCATCAACACCATCAAGTTTGTCCTCCTCTTCTACTTCAGGAAGGTGAAGATGTTGCTTCAACACAGCCAACATTTCACACAATGCCAGTTTGTTGGTCGAGTAAGGAGAAAGTTATTCGCCAACACTCTGCTTTGATTTTGTTCCTAACCCTGTCTACATTGACACTTTCCTCCTCAGGTCACACTCTTCTATAATTGTCGGCCGGCACTGAAGACGTTTCGCTCCACCACCTCCACCTTCTTTTTCCTGGTGGTACTCACGTTTGGCTGGTGGCTGGCAACAGCTGTCATGATCTACAGTCTTGCTGAGTGAGTGCTGATTGCTGCCTTCTCCCCAGTAACAATCATAAGGTTTGGATAGTAATGTTTTCAATGTTATATTAGATTGTTAAAGACAAGTATGTCCCTCTTTCCACCCAGGATCCGACCTTCTATGGGTTGCGGTCCTTTCCGTTTCTTCCCCAGCATGTGGTCGATTGTTCCAACATCTTTCTACCGCCTCTCTACAATTACACGGGACTTTCTCTTCTTCATTGGTTCCCAGGCATTCTCCATCCCCCTGTTTGCGTTATCTTGGTGAGTGAACTTGTGCTTTCTGTAAGATTATTATTCTGGCATATACAGTACTGTACTTAAAGCCAATTATAGAAGGAAGCCTATATTGTACCTGCATAGCATGTGGTATTAAACTGTTTTATGTATAATCAAGGCTCCTTTCTCCTTGGCAGTGTGGTGATGTGCTATTTCGTAGCCTTAGCCTCTGTTTATGGGAAAAGTGTTGCCCTGCTAAGAGCTCAGCTTAAACTGGTAAGTTGTTGGCATTTACCTGAATGGTGTATTGTAATAGCAAACACTTACATGGTATTGAATATTGACAATATGTAGGTAGGCCTATATTATTAATAATACTTACAGGCATTTAGTTTACTAATACAATAGTGGGTGTTTGGCTTACAGGAGGGCCGTGACAAGCAGTTCTTGGTGAAGCAGATTGAGAAGCTGAGTCAACAACATCAGACAGTAAAACATACCGGAGGAGCATATGAGTGATCATATCATCAGGAACATGTTTTGGTTTTACGATCTTTTAAACATGATACAATATGACGAGGCGCCTGAAAGGACTGTATGCACCCTATATGTATAAAATCAATGTCATATAATGCTGGCTGGGATTTAGCAGATAATCCTGCACCAAGATTATTTAGAAAAAGATGTGACAGATCAGACAGAGATCGTTTTTTTGGAACATGTAAACTTATTCATTATTAACCTACCTAAGTAAGTGGTATGTATTAAATTAAATAAAGCCAGATATAAATTATGCAAATTGAGTCTTTATTGTAAATGTAAACTTATGTTTTTCCATGCAAATTGAGATATACTGTATTTTGTCCTTTTACATAACGTTAATAAAATGAGAGGACTTATAGCTCCCTCTAGTGTCAGAATTGTGGTGTTTTTTGTCTAATGTTTACTTCCTGTTTGTGACTACTAGCTAGTTCCTGTGGGCTACTGCAGCCGTCAGCAATAGCAGCTCTTATCCCATCAAGTCAGTGCTAGTATATTAGTCATTTTTGTTCATGTTAAACTGTTGAAAAGATGAGTTTATTGTGAGGGAGCGAGTTAAATGTCTCACCTCGCAGCGGTGTCATTAACGTGTTGAGTTAAGTTGGGAAGTAGCAAACCTTGGCTAACGTTAGCTTAATTGCAAAAATGGAAGTCAACTGAACAGCAGCACCAAAACGGTGGCATTTCTCTTTTTTCTGACTTCACATTCGGCTAATTTTCAGCCCTACTCATTCTCCCACTTCCTCCTTATACAAGCGTTACGGTTTTATTATCAAAGTCAGTGTTTAACCGTGTTTATTCACACTTACGTCGGAGCTAGCTGACTGCTAACGTACAGTATCAACAGTCACCAAGGCAACAATGAACATCCTCCCGAAGAAGAGCTGGCATGTCCGCAACAAAGACAACGTCGCTCGCGTGCGGAAGGACGAGGCCCAAGCAGCAGATGAGGAGCGCGAGGCCAAGCGTCGCGTGGAGCGTGCCGAGCAAGAGGTGACCTACAGTGTGTCATACTGAGCTGTCCAAAAGTCTGAGTAGTGCTGAGTTTAAAGAAAAACATATACATACTGTTAATATTTGTTTCTGTTCTTATATCCTAACGTTGGTAATATTTATAAAAGTAATTCTGAGAGGAGTATAACGTGTTTCTTTGGAAATCAGAACTAAGCTTGTAGTTAACTTAGTCTTCATGTCATATTGTTTATCTCCAATGGTATCATGCTATAATAACCATACAGACTTACTCTTGTGCTGCAGTATTTGTATAGTATCGCAGTAAAATAGCACAATTAGGATAAAGGGCTTCATGGTTGAAGCTTTAGTTACAGAAAATCAATAACGCCCCGCCTGTGGAATGGCTGTGATATGATGCATTATAAAGAAGTCTTCATATATTTAGTTTGGAATAACGACTCTTCCTCCCTCACAGGCTCGTACAGAGTATCTGAGAAGGAAATCCCAAGCTGCTCTCCCTTCAGCAGGAGAAAAGAGGGATGAAGATGGTGAAGATGGTGGTGACGAACGGAGTGGAGGAAGTGGAGTTCTGGAGCATCTCAATCTTTTCCCCCTCGAGGAGTCCTCAGAGAAGAAGGGGAATGAGGAGTATCTCAAGGAAAAGAAAGATGAACAGGTGATGATGCTACTTCTTCTGTCACTCTCATGCAGTAATCATGTATTAATAAAGTGCGTAAAAGAATAAACCTGTAAAAACGTACATTAAATTCTGGTCTTGTCTTATAACAAGATCCACTTACTTGTTTTTTCCGGAGCTTTCAGCCACATCTTGTTGCCTTCATCAACAGACAGTTTGCTCACTACACAAGTGGACATTGTCATAATAATTCTTCGTCAAACTATTGTTTTCAAGATCAAGAATGAACCTTTTAATTGTTGTCATTGTTTTTCCAAATGCAATTTCTAGTATATCATCCAGCCGTGTTGTAGTGATCATTATGAATGATTACAACATGAAAAAGCCTGTTTAATGTAGAACTACCTCTTCACACAAAGGTCTTTTATTAACTAACGAGCAGGCATCCGTCAGCTATGAACGGTTAAACACACATTGATCTTGTGCTGGGTTTGCCTGTGAAATATTGTACCACAGGAATTGAGCTTGTGATCACAACATTGTGAACAAACAGTGAGCCTGTTGTGGCCCGTTTTAGTCATCGAGATGTTTGGGCGACAGTTACAGCCCGTAATACCTTAATCATTCATTCGTGTGAAGATGCTGGCATATTGAATTGGATATTTAAAATCAGGGGAAGCAGTCACTTTCTTGTTGTAGACAAAACTCATTATATATTATGGACGCAGCCCAGCCACATTATGCATACAAGCAGTGCAAACAGATGGAGCGTGAGAGTGGGGGAAAACTAATAACGCCACACGAGAAACAAAACTGCTATTTCAGGGCAAAGTGTACAACACAAGGATGCGATCCAGATTTATAATCAAATCTCAGTCAAGAGATTAGCCAAAAAGGAAAAGTGAATACTTTTACTGTTGTTAGCATCTTGTGGCACAGCTGTCACCACACAACACGTTTTAATTGCTGCTGTTTTTCCTTGTGTCTTTTCCAGGAGAAGCAGGAACGAGCTATCGGCTTGCTGGTGTCTCTAGGACCCCAACCGGGGTCTGAAGTCACTCCGTGGTACATGAAAACTGGCAACGAAGAAGAAGAAAAGAAAGGAAAAGAAGAGAGAAAAGAAAAAGATAAGAAGAAGGGAATAAGTGAAGAGGAGAGAGAGAAAAGAGATCGCAGATTGAAAGATAGTTTAGACCCGTTGAAAGAAATGAAGAAAGCTCTGGCTGTAAAGGACAGAAAATACAACAGCAGCAAGAAAAGGGAAAGAAGAGACAAAGGGGGAAAGAGGAGCAGTGGAGAGAGGTAAGAAAGTCGACTCCTCTTGTATTATAATATTATTATAACTAAGTGTAAAGCGTGAAGTATCTGATATGAGATCATTTAGTAGATTCATTTCAGTACAGTTTGCATGATTCTGTTTTTCTGTTTAGTTCACCGGTTTTAAAGTTGATACTTCAACATTTTGGGAAATATTCACTTTATTTTTGAGAAGTTAGATGAGAAAATGATAACACTCTCACGTCCGTACACTAAATCTGTAACTGAAGCTAGCCTGGAGTTAGCTTAGCATAGCTTAAAGACCAGAAACAAGGGGAAGAAGCTAGCCAGGCTCTGTCCAGGGAGACAGTTCTAGTCACGTGTCAGTTTCCTGATAATTAAGATATTGAGGGTGTGAATGTCACGGTGTGAATAAAATGTGAAGAAAAATCTGTCTTTCTTTTCCAGCTCCATAGAACAGTTGCGTGCTGAGCGCTTACAGAGGGAGGCTGATGAAAGGAGGAGAACACAGGCCCTGCTCGACCAGAGGAACGGCAAAGGGAAGGAGCCAGGGAAGGACGCAAATGAGAGGGAGAGGCCGTACAACAGCGCCTATTTCCCAGAACTGGCTCGAAAGCGTCAAAGGCGGGATCGAGACAGCTGGAGAGATGAGATATTAAAATCGTAAACTATCTTTATTGGTCGGGTGTGATCCGTGCTGGATGGTTAGTGGACAAATATTGAATCCAGTTTTTTCCAAAAATGAAGCAAATGTAAAATGTCCAGAGGAAAGAAGGTAAGATGGAAAGTGTGCCAAAGTAGGTTTAGAGCCACATTAAGAGCATACAACAATATAGCTCGTAGGACTCTTTTTATTTATTTTTCTTCACCCGGAAGGTCAGAGGTCAGTCACAGCTACCTGCAGCGTTTCGCTCGTGATCACGTCAGCGGGGCAGATGGTCGTCACCACAGGGGGCTTGAAGCTCTCTGTCAGCAAAGAAAACACACGAAGAAGTCTTTCAGTAAAGAAAGATAAACTGGAGAGTAGAGCTGAAACAATTAGTCGAGTAATTAATTAGTTAATTGGCAGTAAATGTATAATTTCACTCATTTTTCAAGCTGAATTGCCAACAATTCTCTAGCTCCAGCTCTACTTTGTCATATATCACTTTAAGCTGAACACATTTTTCTGATCTTTGTAAGTTGAACATTTCTACATTTTATTTTTAAAAACCATATAAATGTTTTCACAAACACAGTTTAAGATATAGGAAAAGCACAGGTATAAATAAAGCATGCTGGCTCACTGTCACAACTAACTGGGACAGAAGATGGAATGAAGCCGTTCTTCTGCAATGACAAGTCAAAAATGTTTGCTGTTGTCAAATGCCTATTGCACCATATACCAACACCAATAAGCAACACAAAAGATTGATATTTACTTGTTTTTTTCATCGCTGTAAATTATTTTACAAATACATGTTGTGACAATACACACAGCTGAAATAAAGACTTTCATGACTATGTTCAGTTTTTTGTGGTAAGTTGTATATTATACAGTAAATTATTTCTTTGACGTTGTCCTGCCGTCTCCAAAATGGCCAGCAAGTTAAATCAATGCTTTCAACAAAAACTGAACGTTATAACCTCTGTGTATGTATTTATTGCAGGGCTGTTGTATTAAGCTGCATTAGTTTTGTGTAACTCATAAACTTGCAACTAACTAAATTATCCATGACAGCCTGATCTCTTTTTCTTTCTTTTTTTGCCGAAAGTGAGTCTAAAAAACGTTTTTATTTAGTGCAGTTATGACCATTCAATGATACACCCAGAGATAAATTTTGGTTTTGTTTATAAAATGAAGAGAGCTTGCACTCTTTGTAGGCGTGGTCAATTAACACGTGTTTTATCTTATTATTTAACATTTTTAATAGTGGTCAAATAATATCACACACCAAAATCCTCATGAATATCGAAGTGATGTTTTAAAAGATTAAAAATCCAATATGAGATCGATATAAACCCACTGAGCACCACATCACACCCTATTACCTCCCTGAGGGAATATTATCACATATTTTTGGGGGCATCATTGTGATGATCAAACTGGACCATGACAATGCGCGCCGTGTGTGTCTGACGTAGGCTGGCGGAGGAGAAAAAACACAGACAACACCGAGAGATAGAGGAAGAAATAATTAAATATATAGCCTATATGTGTATATAGAGCGGTTGATTTCAGCAATGCTCCCACACGCAGATGGAGGTGGAGCAGTGATGTACATGTGCAGCGAGCGGTGGCCTGAAGACGCACAATAGAGCATCGCGCACACCGTGTTTAATTGCGGATTAGAGCAGGAGGAGGGGAGAGAGCACCGGGGAAGGCAAGGAGACGCTCTTTATTATTTGGGAGAAAAGCGGACGGGGAGGGGGGCAGACACAGACAGCGTGAGCCCGGAGACAGCACAGACCGTGGCGGGGGTGACGGGAGAGAGGAGGACACCAACACTGACAGTCGGCAGCGTCGCTCGGATGGTGTTGTTGTTGTTGCTCCGGACGCGGCGACGATGCGGCCACACTGCTGGGTGATGGTAGCGCTGGCGGGGATCATGTCGTACTTCAGCCCGGACAGAGCCCTCGGAGCCCCGCAGAGGGAAGGTGAGCGGAGTCGGAGGAGGAGGAAGAGGGGGGTTTGAAAAACCTGCCAGTGATGCTGCTGGAGAAAGGAAGAGAGAGAGGGGGGATGCAGTCAGTTATGAAAAGGCCTCTCTACATAGGGGGGGAGTACTGTGTTTATCAGCCAGTATGACTGAGACATAATGCGAATTATTGTTGCAGTAGTCTACGTGGCTGACTTAATGAAAACAGGAGCGAGGCTGATTTGGTGATGGGTAGGGTATCACATTTGCATGCAGGGATGAAAATATTAGGGAAGGGGGGGGGGGTCGATTTCGGGCCTCACATCGATGGCATTTAAAAACAGCGTATACTGTATGAATTGCAAGCTAAAACCGCCGGTCAGTGCGAGATATCGTCTATAAATAGCCTCCGCTTTGGCACTGGCGATTATTTAGCCTATTAGCCACTGCTGGCATCTTTATTTTTCCTCAATTTGAATGTGCCTTCTCC